GTTTCATGACAATAACTTGTGTGTAAGTGTTTGGATATTTCTGAAATTGTACTACAAGGTTCCATATCACAAAGGGAAAGCTGGAATTGAGTTTGGGGGTAATTGCCCGAAATGTTTAGGAATTGGGGGCCAAAAAGGGGCCAAAAATAAGCATTTTTCTAGTTTCCAGACAATAACTTGTGTTCAAGTGTATGGATCTCTCTGAAATTGTACTGCAAGGTACCATACCACAAAGGGAAGGCTGGGATTGAGTTTGGGGGTGATGAATCATAAGGGGGTTCAAAAAATTTGGGGGGGGGGGGATTTTTTTTTTTTCTTTTTTTTTCTTTTTTTCCTTTTTTTTTTCTTTTAAAATTTTCCATTTTAAGTTGGTTATTTCTGATTAATATTTAAAAGCAAATAATAATGATATGGTAGGAGATACACACCAAACAGGATGTGTAAATTATTATATAATAAGTATTGTGCAATAGCAAGAAATTTTCAATTGCACAGTATTGCACAATTGCAAGAAATCTTCAATTGCACAGTATTGCGCAATAGCAAGAAATCTTCAATTGCACAGTATTGCGCAATAGCAAGAAATATCCAATAGCACAATATTGCGCAATAGCAAGAAATTGTCAATTGTACAGTATTGCACAATAGCAAGAAATATTCAATTGCACAGTATTGTGCAAAAGAAGATACTTCGTATAAATTGCTTATTTCTTGATCAATTTCAATGGGGTTTTATTCTTGAATTCTTGGGGTTCTTTAATATGCTGAATCTAACCGTGTATTAAGTTTTTGGATTTTGGGCCAAATTGAGGTCCAAAGGGTCCACATTGAGGTCCAAAGGGTCCAAAATTTAACTTTGTTTGATTTCATCAAAAATTGAATTATTGGGGTTCTTTGATATGCCGAATCTAACCGTGTATTTAGATTCTTAATTTTTGGTTCCGTTTTCAAATTGGTCTACATTAAGGTCAAAAGGGTCCAAAATTAAACTTAGTTTGATTTTAACAAAAATTGAATTTTTAGGGTACTTTGATATGCTGAATCTAAACATGTATTTAGATTTTTGATTATGGGCCCAGTTTTCAAGTTGGTCCAAATCGGGGTCCAAAATTCAACTTTGTTTGATTTCAACAAAAATTGAATATATGGGGTTCTTTGATATGCTGAATCTAACCATGTATTTAGATTTTTGATTTTTGGGCCCCGTTATCAACTTTGTCCACATTGAGGTCAAAAGGGTCCAAAATTAAACTTTGTTTGATTTCATCAAAAATTGAATTGTTGGGGTTCTTTGATATGCCAAATCTAACCGTGTATTTAGATTTTTAATTTTGGGTCCTGTTTTTAAATTGGTCTACATTAAGGTCCAAAGGGTCCAAAATTAAACTTAGTTTGATTTTAACAAAAATTGAATTCTTGGGGTTCTTTGATATGCTGAATCTAAACATGTGTTTAGATTTTTGATTATGGGCCCAGTTTTCAAGTTGGTCCAAGTTGGGGTCCAAAATTAAACTTTGTTTGATTTCAACAAAAATTGAATATATGGGGTTCTTTGATATGCTGAATCTAAACATGTATTTAGATTTAAGATTTTTGGCCCAGTTTTCAAGTTGGTCCAAATTGGGGTCCAAAATTAAACTTTGTTTGATTTCAACAAAAATTGAATATATGGGGTTCTTTGATATGCTGAATCTAACCATGTATTTAGATTTTTTATTTGTGGACCCCCTATCAAATTGGTTCATATTGAGGTCAAAAGGGTCCAAAATTAAACTTTGTTTGATTTCATCAAAAATTGAATTATTGGGGTTCTTTGATATGCCAAATCTAACCGTGTATTTAGATTTTTAATTTTGGGTCCTGTTTTTAAATTGGTCTACATTAAGGTCCAAAGGGTCCAAAATTAAACTTAGTCTGATTTTAACAAAAATTGAATTCTTGGGGTTCTTTGATATGCTGAATCTAAACATGTGTTTAGATTTTTGATTATGGGCCCAGTTTTCAAGTTGGTCCAAGTTGGGGTCCAAAATTAAACTTTGTTTGATTTCAACAAAAATTGAATATATGGGGTTCTTTGATATGCTGAATCTAAACATGTATTTAGATTTTAGATTTTTGGCCCAGTTTTCAAGTTGGTCCAAATTGGGGTCCAAAATTTAACTTTGTTTGATTTCATCAAAAATTGAATATATGGGGTTCTTTGATATGCTGAATCTTACCATGTATTTAGGTTTTTTATTTTGTGGGCCCGCTATCAAATTGGTTCATATTGAGGTCTAAAGGGTCCAAAATTAAACTTTGTTTGATTTCATCAAAAATTGAATTATTGGGGTTCTTTGATATGCCAAATCTAACCGTGTATTTAGATTTTTAATTTTGGGCCCCGTTTAATAAATTGGTCTACATTAAGGTCCTAAGGGTCCAAAATTAAACTTAGTTTGATTTTAACAAAAATTGAATTCTTGGGGTACTTTGATATGCTGAATCTAAACATGTGTTTAGATTTTTGATTATGGGACCAGTTTTCAAGTTTGTCCAAGTTGGGGTCCAAAATTAAACTTTGTTTGATTTCAACAAAAATTGAATATATGGGGTTCTTTGATATGCTGAATCTAAACATGTATTTAGATTTTAGATTTTTGGCCCAGTTTTCAAGTTGGTCCAAATTGGGGTCCAAAATTTAACTTTGTTTGATTTCATCAAAAATTGAATATATGGGGTTCTTTGATATGCTGAATCTTACCATGTATTTAGGTTTTTTATTTTGTGGGCCCGCTATCAAATTGGTTCATATTGAGGTCAAAAGGGTCCAAAATTAAACTTTGTTTGATTTCATCAAAAATTGAATTATTGGGGTTCTTTGATATGCCAAATCTAACAGTGTATTTAGATTTTTAATTTTGGGTCCCGTTTTTTAAATTGGTCTACATTAAGGTCCTAAGGGTCCAAAATTAAACTTAGTTTGATTTTAACAAAAATTGAATTCTTGGGGTACTTTGATATGCTGAATCTAAACATGTGTTTAGATTTTTGATTATGGGACCAGTTTTCAAGTTTGTCCAAGTTGGGGTCCAAAATTAAACTTTGTTTGATTTCAACAAAAATTGAATATATGGGGTTCTTTGATATGCTGAATCTAACCATGTATTTTGATTTTGGACATTGGACCATAATAGGTAAATTAAAAAGATTTAAGTTCTTAGACCACATTCTTTCTGTGTCAGAAACCTATGCTGTGTCAAATATTTAATCACAATCCAAATTCAGAGCTGTATCAAGCTTGAATGTTGTGTCCATACTTGCCCCAACTGTTCAGGGTTCGACCTCTGCGGTCGTATCAAGCTGCGCCCAGCGAAGCATTTTATTAAATATAGTGCTCCTCTACCTTCAATTTTTAACATCACCCTTCGACTTCCAGCATCACTCTTGATTTTCTCAGAATAAACCTTGAGTTTTGAGATAGTATATCACTTTGGAAAGTAATTCTTATAAGTGTAATTTTGAAAGACTATAATTAACATCAAAATGCATTGTGAAAGTGAAAAGTGACTTGTCTACCATGTAGGTAAGAAAGATAACTGTAGAAAGCCAGTGGCCAGAACATCTTAAAAATGGTTTAATTACTACAATAATGTAAAATATGTTCCTTATTGAAATTTCTACCCATGACTATTATTAAGTTTTTTTTTGTTTTTTTTTTGCCATAGAATAAAGATACATACATTTTTTTATGTCTCAGCCGTGTTACCCTTGTCCGTCTGAACATTTAAAACGTACATACGTCCAGAAATTGGTTTCTGTTTTCTAACATTAGTTTGCCTCAACCAAATGTTATGAAACTTTTTCACAATGCATATTACCACAAAATGCAGATCAAGTTTGAATTTGGGTGTTGTCACTTTTACTATTCTAGAAGTATGCCCTTTACAAATTGAAAAATTGCTGAATTTTTGGTTTCCGTTCTCTAATTTAAGTTTGCCTCAACCAAATGTTATGAATCTAATACACAATGCTTATTACAACAAAACTCAGATCAAGTTTGGATTTGGGTGGCGTCACTTTTACCATTCTTGAGTAATGTCCCTTTATAACGTTATATGTAAGTGGGGGCATCATCTGTGTCCCATGAACACATTCTCCAATTTATTGAAATACATGTACGTACATGTATATGTATTTCTATTTTAAAATAATTATATATATATAAGTACCGCCACTACTGCAAATTGAGTGCAAAAGGTATAAAATTTTTAAATATTTTTCTTTTTCAACTGTAAATGCTTATGTAAAAAAATATTTTAAAGGCTCATCCTATAAACATTTTTCTGATCTCTGCCATATCATTTATGTGTACATTTAAAACTTGAATTATTAACCTGTTGTAAATGATATTACTGATTCTTAAAGGATTTAAAACTGGAAGGAAACAGTTTTTCTTCTTCCTGTCAATTGTGTTTAAAAAACTTAATGAACAACCGGTTACAGAAAATTATTAAAACAAAATCTACCTCATTGGTTTTTAAACATTTTAAAGTCTATTTCCTGCAATAGCTGTCTCGTTTTTTCAAATTTTTCTGTAGTTTAATTTTATTTCTAGGTACATTAATTCAAGTCTTTTAATTGGGTTAGCTAAGTGCATTTTTATTAAATACAGCACAACCCAAGAAGATGTAAGTACTCTCTGACGACAATCATAAACAACTTATGACTTATTAATATCTACTGTAAATTCAGAAATTATTGCGTGCATTTATTATTGCGATTTTGTCAATTCAGACCAAAATGCGATTATTATTTTTGCGATACTGAGAAAATTTCGCTTAATTCATATAAAAAAATCCAAAATGTGAGTTTAAATTATTGCGATTACAACCCTGTCACATTTTTCGCAATAATAAAAACATCGATATAATACTGTATTTACAGTAACTTGAAGACTGTCATGCTATTTAGCCCTTTCAAATATCATTTCCATCATGTGTTTGTTTTTCTCATTGCAGGTTGACTAACTGTAACCATGCCAGGAGAGGTATTATCCTCCCTTGTTTGCTTTAACCCTATTTCCTGCTGCATTATCAATAACCTAAATATATATATACTTTATATATAAAACAAGGCATTCTGGAATACAAAAAAATGGCTGCTTCAAAGAAAGGAAGTGTTAGGATTGTCCGTAGGATGAGTATGGAAACGTACATGGTCCGCGTTTATGCAGGACAGTTATGCACAGATGAGTACACTTCAATAGAAGCAGAGAAGACCACATGTTCTGCGGATATTGTAGCAGCGGCGTGCCTTAAACTGAGACTAGGGGACCCTAATAATTATGAACTAGCTGAAGTTTTCTCCTCATCCGGTCAATTATGTAAAGAACGTAGATTGGAGCCATCTGAAACACCTGTCAGAATACAACTCATGTGGCCTAAAATAATGAATAGTGCAATTGATAGAACTTCTGGATTAACTGGTTATAGGTTTTACATACGAAAAAAAGATCTGGAAATTCCTGATCGGACGTTGTCGTGGAGGGAATGTTCACAAGAATTAAATGCAATAGAAACCTTTTTAACTAGCTTTCTACAACAAGTAACTTGTAACAAGGAATATTCAGATCTGTGCAACCTTCCTGATCTAAATGAGCGGACATTGTTAGACAACGTTAAATCACGATTTCAGAATTCAAATATCTATACATATGTAGGATCTATATTAATAGCAGTGAACCCATTTAAATTTTTCCCAATTTACAATCCCAAATATGTTAAAATGTATCAGAACAAACGATTAGGGGAACTGCCCCCTCACATCTTTGCAATAGCGGACACAGCATTCTTTACAATGTTACGGAAACGCAAAAATCAGTGTATAGTAATATCTGGCGAATCTGGATCTGGCAAAACTGAAACAAACAACTTATTATTACATCACTTGACAGCCTTAAGTCAGAAAGGAGCCCATGGCAGTGGAGTTGAACAGACTATTCTTGGTGCAGGCCCTGTTTTAGAGGTTTGTATTTTGAAAGCAGTATTATGTAGTATCCTCTTTTATGATAGGACACTTTTTTGATGTAGCAAGATGCGGGTATAACTGCCTTATCATATTAGAATGAATATTATACACAGTGTAGTAGAATATTTAAAAACTTTAATAATTATTTTTATGAATAGACACTTTTCTAAGTAATAGGGCAGAATTTTATAGATACCCCTGCACATCATGTTATTAGCTATAGTTTGCTGTTAAATAAACCCACATTTCTTTTTATTCATACATACACAGTACTAGTTCCTCATTTTATATTGATTTTCATACATGTAGCTCTCCCACCAGAGAAGATTCACTCACTCCAGAGGATGTTGACCTTTAATACACCACTTCAAATACTGTCAACCAACACAAGACATCCCATCTAACTACAAAAATGTACTTTCATTTTAACAATTTCAAAAGTCAAATTAAATTTGGACATCCAATAAAACAGTCATTGACAAAATTCCTGGGAATTAGTGAAATGGACAGTTGATGCCTTCAAACAATGACATTAGATATGACTTTGAGAAGCTGGCTTAAATTTTAGAGATTTAAAGATGGGTAGTACCGTACTAAATGTATTGCACTGTGTTTTTGATTATCTTCTTTTGCAAACATTTTTTAAATATATATATCCATTCAAAAGTTCTTTGGCTCAATGTCATGAAAAATATGTTTATTTTGAGGCGAGCCAGAATTGGTCAGATAGTATTAATAAGCAGTATTAGTAGAGAACTGCAGCATATGTTGCAACAGGATTGAACTATTCATTTCTTTAAGATGAGGGTTACCCTTCAAGTGATGGAATATCTCTTTTATAAGGAGTAAAATTCAATATCAAAGTAATAATTTGGAAATGGTTGATTTGTCTTTTCCTTGCCTATAACATGAATAAAGAATAAAATATTGTGCTTTGTTTACATGTATTTGATTATAATTATGATATATCAAAAGGGATGAAAGGAAACGCTTAAGTTATTGCACAGTATATCAGACGACATCAAGCATCAACACACAGCTTCTCCTGAATAAAACCCCCAGACAATCAAACAAAGACAAACAACACTTTAATACAAATCAGTTTTTACCAATAGAGTTTGTGATACTTTAATTGAAGGTTATACAATATCCTTTATCTTGTAGTGAGATTGTCTTACATACATGTACATGTATATAGATCAGCTTTTGTTTAAGGGAAATCCCTTGTTTTTGTCTTAAAACATTGAACGTCACTTTTGAAGAAAAGTAAATACACATACTGTATCCTCATGATTTATTTGCATACATGTTACTCACATGACACATTTTACTTTTACTAAAGTCAGCTAACTGAAAGGAAGTTATCTTTTCCTATCACCAAATCTATTTCCTCTTTCAAAGTTAGGCTAATTATGTTTTAATGTGATTTATATATATATGTTTGTAAGGACACCATCAGATTAAAAAAGTCGTGCACATAGTGTAATATTCTTAAATTTGGAATGATTAGTACATGTATGGAGAATTGCTCAAATATATATATGCAAAAGGAAAATTATGAACTGAATTTACTAATTTGAACCATGCATTTTTGTGCATAACTATAATAATGTTTTCTTTACTTGCAATAACATTTACAAATGTATGGTTTTAGCACAAGGATTGATAATAAGACTAGCCTGTATTTGATTTTTCTTTGCGCTTGGTAGAATTTAAGGAGATGTGGGGTATAGGTTTGTGAGACAGCAACCCAATCACATACAAAAACATCTAAAAGACATCTAATGCTCTACATACAAATACATTCTTCCACAGTAGAAAGATGTCTATTCCATATGCCAAGCTTTTCACAATGCTCTAAATTGCTTCAAAAGTGAAAACAAAAGTTAAGGTAATACATGTATCGTACGTACATAGATATAAGAAGATGTGGTATGAGTGTCAATGAGACAACTCTCCATCCAAGTCACAATTTGTAAAAGTAAACCATTATAGGTCAAAGTATATATATAAGTATCTGTATTTGTATGTTGATTTTTGTCGAGCCTGCGACTTTTGTCGCAGAAAGCTCGACATAGGGATAGTGATCCAGCGGCGGCGACGTTAGCTCACTTCTTAAAAGCTTTATATTTTAGAAGCTAGAAGGCCTGGATGCTTCATACTTTGTATATAGATGCCTTATGTTACGAAGTTTCCGTCTGTCATATGTCCATTGTCCTTGACCTCATTTTCATGGTTCAGTGACTACTTGAAAAAAAAGTCAACATTTTTTGTAATGTTAATTTCTTTCTTATTATGAGTAATAGGATAACTATATTTAGTAAAAAAAACCTTGCAAGGTCCTCATGCCCGTCAGACAATTTTCATTTGACCTCGACCTCATTTCATGGATCAGTGAACAAGGTTAAGTTTTCGTGGTCAAGTCCATATATCAGATACTATAAGCAGAAGGTCTACTATATTTGGTATATGGAATAATTGTAAGGTGTACATGTCCAACTGGTAGGTGTCATCTGACCTTGACCTCATTTTCATGGTTCAGTGGTCAAAGTTAAGTTTTTGAGTTTTTGTCTTTTTTTCTAATACTATATGCAATAGGTCAACTATATTTGGTGTATGGAAATATTTTATGATGTACATGTCAGTCTCGCAGGTTTTATTTGACCTTGACCTCATTTTCATGGTTCATTGGTCAATGTTAAGTTTTCATGGTTAAGTTTGTTTCTTAGATACTATAAGCAATAGGTCAACTATATTTAATGCATACATTGATTGTAAGGTGTACATGTCTACCTGGCATGGTTCATCTGACCTTGACCTCATTTTCATGGTTCATTGGTCAATGTTAAGTTTTCTTTGTTAAGACTGTTTCTTAGAAACTATAAGCAATAGGTCAACTATGTTTGGTTTATTGAATGATTGTAAGGTGTACATGTATTTCTCGTTTGGTTTATCTGACCTTGACCTCATTTTCTTGGATCATGTTAAGTTTATGTGTTACTTGTAGTTCAGCTTTATATTTAGGACTACATGTATCAACATAAAATCAACGGTTAGTAAAGAAGGCGAGACATTTCAGTGTGTGCACTCTTGTATCAGAATGTTGTGGGAAAAGTGTTTTTAAATGCATGGTAATTTGGGAAGTTTGTAAAGCATAAATGAGGTCATGTGGGAATCAGAATTATTGAGGTCAATTGATCATGAGATGTTTGGGAATTCTGTATAATATTAATATATTATCTTTGAGAATGGGTCGTTCGACTAGAAAAATCTATGTATTTTCATAAAGAAGTAAATATGCATGTAGGTAATTAATTCTTAAAAAAGTAAAGTTTTGCAAATGTACGTTTTGTACCTGAGAAGTTATCGTTTTACTTATTTTAGTTTAAAAAATGAATACATATGTGTATTGACATATCGTCCATGTACCAGAAATCTTTTGATATGTATTTAATGTATGATAATAAATAAATAATCACCTGTCTGTGTGGGTGTCTGCCATTCAAATATAAACCCCTAATTCTATATCACTGACCTATGTAATCAACACTTAAGAGCTTTGTAAGTTTATTTGGAGCACAGGTTGATCTCTGCTGATCAGATGCTTTGAGGTTGCATACATGTAGTTGTCCATCAGAAAGTTTTGAAATGTCTTAGTTTATTTTTAGTAAACTAAAATTGTGTTGGTCCAATGTAGTAACTTTTTATGTATTACATGCAAAGATTATCAAAGAAATTGCTCTGATATCTGACGGCATGATTGGAGGACTAGTGGCAGCCCTGGCTGAATAATACTGGTGCACTTAATTCCTTCAAACCTAAATTTCTTAGGTCAATTAATATTAGTCTTAGAAATTAAATGTCATATCATCTTCATTCTAGCTAGAAAAAAGAATTCAAAATGAGTAGAAATCGCAGAGCCACCGTAAAATAGTAACATGTACAATGATATTGAAATCTAATGGATGTGAAAAAAAAACAAATTCATAATTTCACACCTGACTTCTTTACATTTACTAACAACATGTCATAAGTCATAAATAAAAGTTGACATAATCCATGGTTAACAATGGTGTGTGTATAATGGTATTCAGGGCATCTGTTTATGAATTTCTTATTGCTAGAATAGTGAAAAATGATGTTCTGTTTACCTGTAGGCCATATAATTAGATGTTGTCAAAACAATAAGGTTATGTTGTAGATTGTACAGGTTAGAATTTTTACCTGTCTCAAATTTGAAATTTTACCTACATGCACATTTACACAGTACAAATGTAGTTTACATGTACACGTGCATTGAACAAATGCTGTAAAAAGGTTTAATCTGTAAGTCATGACTCAGCTATATCACAGTGGCAAGAAACTCTTGTTTGTTTTTTTTATTTCATATTTAGAAATTGTCCTTTTTAAGACGGTATAAATTTAGTGGTACCCCTAGAGTAGACAATTTAAGAAATAGGGTTTAGTCTTCTTCCTTTTGCAGCTTTTCCCCCTTGATATTCATCATAAATCCTTTGTCCCTTTAGCTTTGACAATTTTATCCCTTTTGCCTCCTGCTTTTAATGAAATTTTCTTTGTGCAATAGCGGCATGACTGTTCCAGAATCTTGCAGAAACCATGTGAATTTAAATGTCTTACTTCTGTTGCTTTTGAACCCATATTGCTGACAGAATAAGCATTATTATATATACAAATGAAAGGTGACTCAAAAAGATGTCTTGCCTAAAAAAAAAAAAAGCAAAAAAAAAACCCCAAAACCCAATATGTACAAACAAATGACAAATGAATGATGAGACACATTTTGAATTTAACAGGATAAAATGCGCTCACCACCATAGAAGCCAGCCAAGTAAACCTCAGGCTCCTGTTGAACATTGCTGCTCATGGGGAAAAAAATCCAAATCCCCAGAAACCACACTAACAGACATGTATACATAATTTGGTATTACGTGTACATGTACATGTATTTTAGAATGTATCATCAGTTTCATAAATCTCCTGCTTTTATTCGATTGAACAACTTTGAACCAATCTTTTTTGTTGAACAATGAACCTAACTTGTGTCTGTAACATGAATGTATCCTACAACTGGACATCACATTATTGTTACTTAGGTCAGGAGGGGTTTTACCATGGACTATAGTGATAGGACCTACACAGCTGCTGTATAAAAAATGAAAACAGCATGTTATGTATACCTTAAGCCTATAGCTAGCTTAATGAAAGGTATTTCCATGAAAGTTGTGTTTTTTGATAATTATTTACCCAGATGCTACAATTTTAAGACTGAAGATGTTACTTCAAAGGCTACATGTATGTTGATCAGAATGTTATCAAAAATTTCTGGGAGACGACTGTTTATGTACATTTTTTTGTATATATATATAGATTCTAAGTGATCAATACAGACTCGTTTAAGTTTCTACTTTTTGTTGCATTATAGTATACACATATACTTTAATTATATTTTTTTTTAAATCATTTGTATCTGTCAGTGATTGAAGATTCAAATATAAAATAAACACGATAAACCCACACAGTTATATCATTGAATTGAAGGAAAAAATCAACATATTTACATGTAAATTCAAAATGTATTTTATTCACATTGAATCATTGATGCATACAAGCCTTACACATTGAAAGTCACAAAATTCAGTTAATTTATGCATGATATGTACATGGAAAATCGGATTTGATTTGAATATGATATTTTATAGATTCCCTTGGGGTATTGGATACTATTTGTGGTATATTGATTTGGGTTAGTGTAATTCTACTAAGTGCTTTAACATAAAGGTCTGGTTTCTTTGAAATGTCAAAGTGGAATTGGTATCAAAATCATATTTTGACCAAAATTAGAGTTTACTGATTATATAGGTGTATTTTTTTAAATTCTTTTTCAACTATCATTACTGTGAAAAGCAAAGTTACGATTAAGAACAATTGCTGCAAAATCGCTTTTCAGCATGAAAAATTAAAATACAGTTTTACTTCTAGTAAATTTTCAATATATGTTTGAATTAGTTACTGCTTGAAAAAAAATGTTTAATCTCAAGTGACCAAAGGAGTTTTATGCTTTTAAAAGATGTTTGTTTTGCATTAAAATAATGTAGGTACATTAATGTGGTTTATATTTATAAGCAGAACTTTATTATGAAATATAATTTATGGTATCAAAATTCAGAGTGTTAGAAAAGAAATATTATGCAAAATCATTCAAACACATGAATAAAAGATCATGATGATACATACAACGATGACAGGAATAACCAAAAATATTGACAGTACATGTACATGTACAGCACCAACCACAAACAGGACTTTTCTGAAAAAGCAGACATACAAACAAAGACAACAACAAACAACATGAACATGGTTTAGATAGCCTGACTTGAGGGTTTAATTAGGAATGCATTGTCAATTGTATTGCGGGATTTTCTCTCTGGGTTGAAGATCATTGGTGACCTTGGGCTGTTTTCTACTCTTTGGTCGGGTTGATGTCTCTTTGACACATTCCCTGTTTCCATTCTCAATTCTATTGTATAGATGATAGAAATTGTGTAATCTTTGAATGTGAGAAATAATCATAATTTTAAAGATTTTTTTTTTTAAATCTCTTTCTCTGAACTTTTTTTAAGGAAATGAAATGACAATGTATTTGCATAAAAAAAGAAGCATGAACCAAAGCTGGCAAGATTAATGATGTTAGTCTAGTATTGATTGATTCAGTGACATATTTTTATGTGTATCAGTTTTGACAGTGAAATATGACTACAGGGTACTGAGGCTATTACCTTAAAGATCTGTGTCATGTGATTGTTTATTCTTATCTCAACACAATACATTAAATTCATATTTGTGTATTGGGGGAATTTGCAAAAATCAAAACAAACTTTGAAGTTTTTTCACATGGTCATTTCTTGTTTACATCTGTTAGACTGTTTGACTTGTGTCTTTTCGAAATTTTGAGAATGACATCTTGGAAATTGAAATTTATTAAATCCATGGGGAAAAATTCTTTCAAGGATAGAAGGAATTTTGTTTTCAATAATTTTCAACCCTTTTGAAGGTTTATGGATGAAATTTGGATATATTTGTGTTCATTTTTCGGATGTTTGCTTGTTAGTGTTTGTATAATTGTAAATATTACAGTGAAGAAGGTGAGATTAGAAACAGAAATTTCAGTATTCATTTATGTATACAATATAATGGTAAAAATTTTACTAATGTTTTTCTCTCCAAAAATTAAGAACCGAACAAGCATTGCAGACATTTTTGTACTAGGCAGGACTTATATTTCCAGTTAGGGCCACATTTCAAACATAGTTGATGTAAAAGAATTTAAAAAAGTTTCGGCATGGTGCACTGGACACTAACTGGGCCAATGGACAATCATTATTTACTGGTAAAAATAAAAAAACCTGAACAATCGATATTTTTACATTTAGTATAATCCAGCCTTGTTGAACATTTGGTTCTTATTTTGACAAGCTGAGTAAGAATTCAGATACAATTTAACTCAATAGTCTTGAATATTTGATATGAGAGTCAGCTAGACACCCTCATTTTTAGTGCATTCTCCATATTATTTTGGTAATTTTTTCAGGAAAACATAGTTAAAACTATATCTTCCATCAATGTTTGTTTTTTTTATACATTACACAATATGAGGCCTTAGTAATGTGTTGCAGAGTTATCCCTGCTGGACCGAAGAAGTCACTTTCCTGTCTGTCATTTTGCTTTTCCCAGCTTCCAAAAATGTTATCCCGTTACGTGAGGGATTCTGCTTGATTTTCATATGATGAAGACATAATCTTTCAATCAGTTTAATTGAGGTCTGGAGCTGGCATGTCAGTAACTGCTAGTAGTCCTTTGTTAATTTATGTTAATTATTGTCATTTTGCTAAGTTTCTTCTGTTATCTATTCTATGTCCCTTTACAAGTTGAAAAATTGCTGAATTTTTCGTTTCTGTTCTCTATTTTTATTTTGTCTCAACCAAATGTTATGAAACATATACACAATGCCTATTACAACAAAGCACAGATCAAGTTCAAATTTTGATGGCGTCACTTTTACCGTTCTAGAGTTATGCCCCTTTACAGTCTCTAACTTAAGTTTGCCTCAATTAAATGTTATGAAACGTATACACAATGCTTATTACCATAAAACTCAGATCAAGTACAAATTTGGGTAGAATCACTTTTACAGTTCTTGAGTTATGTCCCTTTTTAACTTTATATGCAAGCGGGCCCATCATATGTGTCCCATGGACACATTCCCCATTTATTCAATTTTGGTTCATTTATATGTTTCGGAGTTTAGTGTGACGTCCATCGTGCTGAAGTAGTATACATTATTGTTTAGGGGCCAGCTGAAGCCCGCCTCTAGGTGTGTGATTTTCTTGCTGTGTTGAAGACCCATTGGTGGCCTTGGGCTGTTTTCTACTCTTTGGTTGAGTTTTGTCTCTTTTACGCATTCCCTGTTTACATTCTCAATTTTATCTAGTCACCAAGGTGTTCACAACAGTTGTTTTCCTCCTCAGCAATTTTCTATTTTTACCAAATTAATGAAACAGCAGTTTTATTAGTGTACATGAATGATAATGAATATAATGCTGTGTTACACTTGAAGTTGGTATATTATTTTCTGTTATTGAAGACTGAACAATGGGTTAATATCTCGAGCTAGCTCATTGCCATAGATTATCCTTTCATTCACATAGACAGGAAAGCCTGGCCATTTTCAGTCTTGCTATTTTTGTGGGCAACAATTTTTGAAAATTGAGGAAAAATTGCAATTTTGAAATTAATTGAAATTAATTGAATCTTGATGTCATGGTTTTGGCCATTTCTTCATTTGAGCCTTAAAGAAATTTGGACTTCGATAACAAAATTGTGCTGTATTTATACTCATCAAATTCACTAAAAATCAGTACCAAACAAATAATAAAGAATCCATGTGTATCAGGTATGAGGAATAGGTATACATACAACATGGAAAACATGAAATAGGGTGGAAAATTATAAAGTAAAATGTGTTGTTATTATAGCTGTTTGCTACATAACATTAGGTACAAAAGTATAATCTGTGAAATCACTTTCTTAAAAAAAAAAAAAGCTACGGAAAACCTTACCATAGAATTATGGGAAACAAGTTACACAAATGAAAAGTAACGTTACCAGACAAAAGCTAAAATTGTATTTGAATTTATTTCAGGCTTTTGGTAATGCTAAGACAGTACACAATAATAACTCCAGCAGATTTGGCAAGTTTGTACAAGTCAATTACAAAGAAAATGGAATGGTTCATGGGTAGGTTTATTTGTACAAAGGATTTTATTTCATAATAATGTATGTAGATATGCTTATAATACATCTGACATGATATAGCAGTGGCGTAGCTTGTCTTCTGTTATTACCGAACAGGGCTGTTGAGGTTTTGCAATTTGAACGAGCGGAATCTATTATAACTGATAGCAGTTGTTTTATTTTACTTCATCATAATAATGTTAATATTCCTTGCACTAAGTTATACTACAGATTTATTAGTAAATTACAGGTACCTACATCCTTTTCAATGTTCTGATGAATACATAAATGTTCTCAAAAATATTTATCACTTTTTCAAATTGAATCCTTTCAGTGAACTTTCCAGATTTTAAATTCTTTATGAATAAAAGGAAATGGGTATGGGGTTTACTTTAATGACACAGCAAGTCAACAATACAGCTGTGAATCAACCAAGAGTAACCATGTCAGCTGACTTACAGAATGAAACAAATTCCGGATCTCAGCTAGCGCTTTACAAGTGGATGCAACAACAAGACTCAAAACGTGCACTCTGCAATGATGATAATATGCTCTTGGTTGGATTTGCTGTATGCGGGTTTTAATACCAGAAACATTACCAGACATCACTCTAGCACCATTTCTTAATAAAACTAGGAAATAAACACATGCTACATGTCAAGTACACCACAGCATTTTTATTGGTTGTGATTTGCCCTGATATTGCTTGGAAGGTCTTCAAATTCTTACATGGTTTTGAACTTTTTCACATTGTGAAAGTGACAACCGGAACTTGAACCGGTGAAGTACTAACGGAAACATTTTTGTTTTTTTGAAGTCTTTATAATGAATGAAAACAGTATTTGGTTGAAAATTTTATACAAAAACTGACATATGTATGAACTAACAGACATCTACAATACCTTGCTGGAATTAATGACTCCTTCAAATATTTAAAATTCCCTGCTAGTGAAAAACTATAAATTTAAAATAGTGAGAATAAAACTTGAGAACAACATACAAATTATTTTCTGTGCATGTTGATTAATATTGGTATATTTTATTATAATTGGCATCAAAGTCAATGAAACTCTGTGTACAATTGAAGTACTTCATGTAGGGGGGATGTCAATACAATAGGTGTTTGGAAGACATGGAATTATTGAAAAAATTCTGTCTGTCATTTGCTTAGATATTTAATAGAGAGTTGTATAGATCAGTATATCAGTAACATGGCTTACCCTAATATCAGACAGGTTAATTATGCTAAACTAATCATCTAAAAAAAATGTGGAACATGGAAGGTTAGACAACTTATTGTACAAACTTAAGAAAAAGAAGGATAGATTAGCTCATTGTCTTTTTATATATTTTAAGGTGGTTTTCATTGCATTTATACTTTTTGTAAGTTGATTTTTCTTTAAGGAAGAGTTTACCTTTACGAGGATGTTGTAAGACATAACATCCTTATTATGGATAATCTCATTGTGTAAACATTTAAATTTGCATGTTAAAATTACATTGATGTAAACTGTGTAAACCTTTTATTTTTATGTAAGAATTGCATTGAAGTAAACTATCTGCGTATAATGTTTCAATGAATGAAAAAATGGTCAGATTGACAATAAAATATACAAAATAATGTAGTTGTGTATGACAGGGAAAAAAATTGCAGTAATGTCATTTTGTATCCTTATCTCTATTGTTAAAGGTCAAGGGTGAGGAAAATAAATTCCATTGTTCTTTTAAAGTTTTTGAAATACAGAAATCATCAGTATACACTATGAAATAAATCACATTGTAAATGAATTAAAAATTATAAAAAACCCAACTACATGTCAATTAATTTCTTTGTAGCAGATAATTTATTTGATTTAGTACATGTTGAGGATGTGTGACAAAGCATAAAGTAAACTGTATGATTCAGTGGTTTGTCAGGGCAATGGAGTACCAGTTTTGTTAATAAATTTTGTCAGAGTCTTTGTTCACGAATGTGCATTAAAACTTTAGGGATCAATAGATTATGGTCTTTCAGTTTACAAAGGGTACTTGTTCAATAGTTTTAAACCATTGTTCTTATGTAACAGGATTAATACATGTAACTTGGATTCATTTATTTTCATTTGTTCCAATTTTGAGAATACTTTTAAGGTTACTGTAAATTCAGAAATTATTGCAATGTTTTTATTATTGCGAAAAATGCGACAGGGTTATAATCGCAATAATTTAAACTCGCATTTTGAAATTTTTTATATGAATTAAACAGGATTTTTCTCAATATCGCAAAAATTAAAATCGCATTTTAGTCTAAAATGACAAAATCGCAATAATAAATGCACGCAATAATCTCTGAATTTTTTACAGTATAGAATTTCTTCAAGTTCCTGGAAAATTTCATTTTGTTGGAAGTTTTATGGTTACCTGTACTATTGAAATCCATGAGAAATTAGTACCCTGTTCAAATTTCAAAGTTTTTGAAATTAAGCCACCTTACTTAGTTGGAAGGAAAAATGCAGTATATTAGTACACAAATGGAACAAAGTCTTGGTCCTAGATTACAATTACTCTGTGCACAGTCCTGCAGTTCATTTAAAAAAAATCTTTGGTGGATTATTTAATAAATTAAGACAAGGTGCATCAAATGGGTTTTTATCTTCATGAATTCAATATCACACCAATTTTTAGCAGTTAAACAATTTCACTGTTCCCATCACAGCCTGCAGACAGAATACCTATATCTTATAATGCATCAATATCTTTAGTTGGTTCATTGCCAAACTCAATAACTATAAGTTAACAATGATTTATACTGCTTGTTATTTTTTTATTTGAAAAACTAAGCAAGGAATTGGTTGTTAGCAGAATTATTGTTTTCACGAAAATGTAAAGGAAATGTTTGTTTACAGAATTAAAAAATGGGTCTGTATCTTTGAAATGAAAAAAATAAAAGTAAGATTAATGTGGCCTATTTTATCTTAAAATGTAAATGTATCAAAATAAGATTAGTTTGGCGCTATCTAGAACCTGTCTTAGAAAGTTTAGAATTGCAAACTAAATTGATATTCAGCCTTCTGTAAGTAGTATATATGTATTTACTCTTACCAAACATACAATACTAGGTTTTCAGGGTGCAGATTTGGTAAAATTGAAATTTCCAGTAATAATGGTATAAAGTAAAAAGATACAAGGCTTGGGGAATTGAAATGATAAGTAAGAGGAACAAATCTGTTTCCAAAAGACAATAAAAAATCAGAAAACTGAAGATTGAGCAATATCAAGAACTCTCAAGATATGCCAAAACCTATTTTTGTTCAATTTAGGGGTAGATGCCCTCACTTATCCAAAATTCTGTGCTTACCCTAAACAAAAATATTTAACTTTTATTTTAATTAGGAACCAGAAGGATTAAATAATCCATAGGGCAATATGGTAAATTAACCTGAAATGATAATATTGATTGTTGTTTGCTTTACATCCAGTGGCAAATATATCATACATATTCAGGATGATTAAATGCTGAGAAACAACTGTGTGTTTGTTTAATGTGTATAAAAGTCCTTTTTATATGACATCCAGTGGCAAATATATCATACATATTCAGGATGATGAAATGTTGAGGAACAACTGTGTGTTTGTTTAATGTGTATAAAAGTCCTTCTTATACGACATCCAGTGGCAAATATATCATACATATTCAGGATGATGAAATGTTGAGTAACAACTGTGTGTTTGTTTAATGTGTATAAAAGTCCTTATACGACATCCAGTGGCAAATATATCATACATATTCAGGATGATGAAATGTTGAGGAACAACTGTGTGTTTGTTTAATGTGTATAAAAGTCCTTCTTAATGAATTAAGTTTATTCAAAACACATTATAAGTTAATACTTCATCTTTTACAGAGCTATTGTGGAGAAATATCTTTTGGAAAAATCACGAATCGTCAGTCAAGCAAAAAATGAAAGGTAAGTTGGTCTCCATTCTGAAGGAATTTGTACAGTTTCATATCCTTTATTAAGGTAGCAATACACAGTTAGAAGTTAAGTTTCGCATTTTGGCCATGGTGAATTTTTGAAATATGAAAGTTTTTATTTTTGCGGTCGTATATTGGTATGACGTTGGCGTCGTCGTCTGGCGTCGTCCTGCGTCGTCCGAAGACACATTGGTTTTCGCACTCAACTTTAGTTTAAGTGAATGGATCTCTATGAAATTTTACCATAAGGTTCAATACCACAAAAGGAAGGTTGGGATTGATTGTGGGGGTTATGGTACCAATAGTTAAGGAATTAGGGGCCAAAAAGGGGCCAAAAATAAGCATTTTTGTAACTTCCAGACATAACTTGTGTGTTAGTGTATGGATCTCTCTGAAATTGTACCACAAGGTTCCATATCACACAGGGAATGCTGGGATTGATTTTGGGGGTAATTGTCTCAAAATATTAGGAATTAGGGGCCAAAAAAGGGGCAAAAAACAAGCATTTTTCTAGTTTCATGATAATAACTTGTGTGTAAATGTATGGATCTTTCTGAAATTGCACTACAAGGTTCCATATCACAAAGGGAAAGCTGGAATTAAGTTTGGGGGTAATTGTCCAAAACGTTTAGGAATAAGGGGCCAAAAAGTGGCGAAAAATAAGAATTTTTTTAATTTCCAGACAATAACTTGTGTTCAAGTGTATGGATCTCTCTGAAATTGTACTGCAAGGTACCTTACCACAAATGGAAGGCTGAGATTGAGTTTGGGGGTGATGAATCATAAGGGGGTTTAAAAAATTGGGGGGGGGGGGGGGATTTTTTTTTTTTTTTCCTTTTTTTTCTTTTTTTCAAAATTTCCATTTTAAGTTGGTTATTTCTGTTTTATATTTAAAAGCAAATAATAATGAAATGGTAGGAGATACACACCAAACAGGATGTGTAAATTATTATATAATAAGTATTGTGCAATAGCAAGAAATTTTCAATTGCACAGTATTGCACAATAGCAAGAAATCTTCAATTGCACAGTATTGCGCAATAGCAAGAAATCTTCAATTGCACAGTATTGTGCAATAGCAAGAAATATCCAATAGCACAATATTGCGCAATAGCAAGAAATTGTCAATTGTACAGTATTGCACAATAGCAAGAAATATTCAGTTGCACAGTATTGTGCAAAAGAAGATACTTCGTATAAATTGCTTATTTCTTGACCAATTTTAATGGGGTTTTATTCTTGAATTCTTGGGGTTCTTTAATATGCTGATTCTAACCATGTATTAAGTTTTTGGATTTTGGGCCCCGTTTTTAAATTGGTCCACATTGAGGGTCCAAAATTAAACTTTGTTTGATTTCATCAAAAATTGAATTATTGGGGTTCTTTGATATGCCAAATCTAACCGTGTATTAAGATTCTTAATTTTTGGTTCCGTTTTCAAATTGGTCTACATTAAGGTCCAAAGGGTCCAAAATTAAACTTAGTTTGATTTTAACAAAAATTGAATTCTTAGGGTTTTTTTGATATGCTGAATCTAAACATGTATTTAGATTTTTGATTATGTGCCCAGTTTTCAAGTTGGTCCAAATGGGGGTCCAAAATTAAACTTTGTTTGATTTCAACAAAAATTGAATATATGGGGTTCTTTGATATGCTGAATCTAACCATGTATTTAGATTTTTGATTTTTGGGCCCCATTATCAACTTTGTCCACATTGAGGTCAAAAGGGTCCAAAATTAAACTTTGTTTGATTTCATCAAAAATTGAATTCTTGGGGTTCTTTGATATGCTGAATCTAACCATGTATTTAGATTTTGGATATTGGACCATAATAGGTGAATGTCCAATTTAAATTTTTTAAATTCTTAGACCACATTCATTCATTGCTATGTCAGAAACCTATGCTGTGTCAAATATTTAATCACAATCCAAATTCAGAGCTGTATCAAGCTTGAATGTTGTGTCCATACTTGCCCCAGCTGTTCGGGGTTCCACCTCTGCGGTCGTATCAAGCTGCGCCCTGCGGAGCATTTTATTGTACAATAAAATTGATTTTTAGATAGTTGAAGAATGATATAGCCTTCCAAGTGGGTTTATATGAACCTCTAGATTGTTTTTAGCATGGTTTATAAGCAACTTTTCTTATTGACAGTCCGTATTTTCACATCCGTACCGCCCATAGGTCCAGAAATTATTGTAGTGTTTATCAAAGATTTGACCCTCGATCTTTTCAATTCAATTTTATGGAAAAACGAGCAGAAATGCATATGATTTTTTTTGCACCTCTTGATAGATAAATGTCTATGGTTTCAGGAAAGGTACCATAGACATTTATCACTCAAATGGATTGGAATTCTCCTTTGGACCAAATTTTGGAGACTTTTATGACATTTTCACTCCCCTTTTTGCAATAATTTGTATCAAATAGATACCGATTGTTGCTATGGTTACACCAAAAAGAGATTATATTTCAAAATTGTAACTATTGGAAATCAAATCTATGGAAGATGCTCTTTCCATAAATATACACATGCATAACACAAATATAAACCCTTATTTGTTAGATGGGGAGGAAAAAAGGGTGGTGAAAAATTATGAGTGTCAATTTTAAGTTTTTTCCTAACTATGTATTGCTACCTAATGCAAAGAAAATAAAAAAAATACTGTTTATTTATTCAAAACATAATGTAATTTTTTTTGTCTTTTAAAGTTTATTGAAGCTACTTTATCTTTAAGTAAAATATTACACTAAAATAGGAAAGAATAAATGAATAAGGGATAGTAATAATTTTATTTTGTCCACAATATGGCAAAAATTTATATATATTATCATGGGAAATCATGAAGCTCTAAACATTTCATGAAAATTTCATCTATACGAAAAAAATCATATTCTCTTTACCGGTAGTACCTTGGACCATGGTCATATGATGTTACAGACACGTTTCACAGAAAACATCAGCTTTTGTTTAATTTTTTCATGTATATGTTTGATTTGAAATGTGCCTGGATTAATTTCATATTTTGTACCTGTTTGTTTGTCAATATTAAGTATTTGTCATTATTATTTCATTTTTTGTATTCACTGCACAAGATTTCATGAAGTGTGATCTTCAAATGTGTTAGCAGAAAAAATTAACCTTAAATGAAAAATTTGTAAAATTTAGATTCTTTTACTAAACATAACAGTCAAAATATCATGTTTTCGTTGTAGAAATTACCATGTGTTCTATTATCTCCTGGCTGGATCAGATGAAGAAGAGAGAGAAACATTACATCTACTGGAGCCACAGGATTATACATATTTGAAACAGGTTAGGGCTAATTCTATCTCCAACCATTACAAAATCTCTACAGTATTGTAAAGTTTAGGCTAGAGAAGAGATGCTGTGGATTTTTTTATTATTCGTGGGTACCAATTTTTGTGGGTAAAGATAAATCACAAATTCAAATGTTCAACAAAGTACACATTTTCTATTGACTAATATGCAGACTTCAGAAAAACAATGAAATCAAATATCCATGAAAATAGAGTTTTTCCTCATTCCACGAAATTGTTTCCCCAGAATATAAATGAATCCTCCATAGTATGATAAGTCCACTTCCCTCTTTAATTCAGAAATCCAAAAGTATTGTCTCTCAAATGATTTCCTTCAGATGTTCACAAGAATTTAGTCTGTTGTATATCACAATTTGTGTGTTTAAAATTTGTTACATATTTGCTTTAGGACTTGATACCCTTTTCACTGAAAATTTTCCCAAATTGCCTCATTTTTGGTGGAGTTGGACATAGTCCCCAACACCTCATAATAAGGAGATGTCTATGGGAACTTGGATATTTTTCAGCAAAATTTACAAAAGATGGTACCAGTTTTGTTTAATCAACTGATCCTTTAGTTTTCAAAGCAGATCCCTGAAACTTCACAGAAAGATTGCACTCATGCTCAAGTTGTGCACTTACTTCTATGAAATTGTTTAAGAAATTTTTTCCCATTTCTCCATACTCTGGAACTTAATTATTTTCCAGCAAAATTTACATAAGATGATGTTGTGTACTAGTTTTGTGTAATCAGCTCCTCGTACAGTTTTCACCCCTTTCACATATATTGGAGTAGTGCACCTGCTAGTATGGAATTGTTTTAGGAATTCATTCTCATTTTTATTATGCCCTCCCTGCTAGTTAAAAGGGGCATTAAGTGTTACCCTTGTCTGTCCGTACGTACGTCGCAAAATTGGTTTCCGTTCTCTAACTTTAGTTTGCCTCAACCAAATGTTATGAAACTTATACACAATACTTATTACCATAAAACACAGATCAAGTTTGAATTAGGGTGGCGTCACTTTTAACTTTCTGGAGTTATGACCCTTTATAACTTTATTGGCAAGCGGGGGCATCATCTGTGTCCCATGCACACATTCTCCATTTATTTCACTCTTGGGACTTGAGTCATTTTCAGCAAATTTTTTAAAAGATAGTTTTAGATTTTGTTTTCAACCCCAATCTTTGGTACTTCACACAAAGTTGACAAACCTATCTAGGTTGTGCACGTTATGTTGTTGTTTAAAGATTGTTTTCCCATTTCATATATATTTCCATATATTTAAATGTTTATTATAGACCATTCTTCATTGTTAAAGAATAGTTCTGCGCAACTCTATATATATGTAGCTAGCTATCTGTCATCGATATAATGATATGAGCAACAAATTGCATAAATAAATATTTGGTTCAAGTATTGTATACAAAGGTGTTTATGTGGATAGAATATCTTTTTGGATTTGTACTAAATTTCTCTAATTAGTATGTGTAAAAAATATGTGTCATAGTGACAGCAGATGAAATAATCCTTTTCATTTGTCAATAGAATTAACACAATTTTGATTGCAAAAATTCCTCAATACATAATTTGATTTCTGTAAGTCAGAAGAAAAAACAACAAAACAACACTTGTGTAAATACATGTATCTTAGCTTTCACTATCTGACATCTTTAAAGAAGATTTGGAAAATAATTATCAGTGACTCTGACAAAATGAGTTATTTTCCAATACTTTGAATATTAATAGAGTATACTAACACGATATTTTAAAATCTTGCTCTCTGTTGTGGGCCAATTACTTGTCCATATCAAGTTTCCAGCATTTAAACAAATGTTTTGTTTTGTAGAGTGAATGTTTTATATTAGATGGTCTTGAAGAAGAAAGAGTAGATGAAAAATATGAATTTGAAAGGTTAAAACAATCTATGGAAATGGTCGGATTTTCAACAGTAACACAGAAAAGGTAAATTAAAACTCACCCCTAAAATAGCAAACACATCTCCAATGTTACCTAAACACTTCACACCAATATCACCACTAAAATTTGAGACAAAAAGACTAAACATGAAAAAAAGCATTTGTCAATTTGACAAAGAAAAAAATACTGAGTTTTTGATAACATGATTGTTATGTATGTTAAATGTTTTTTTCTTATCCAGGTTGTAATATTTCTTTATTTTTTTATTTTCAGAATATTTTCTGTGTTATCAGCCGTTCTGTTGCTTGGAAATGTAGAATTCAAAAAAGTAAGAAAATTTCCTTTCAGATAATGAAAGATTGTAATCATTCTTTAATGTAAAGTGTATGATCCAATTAAATAAAATCTGTTTTCATTTTACTGTACCCTAATTATAAGGTAATTTCTTATTTTGTTGGCTTGCAACCTTCTGTGTCAGGGCTGTTGGCATTTACTCTGAATTTACAGTATTCTCTTTATAAAGTATTCAGAGTAGTTCTTCCATTTAAAGGAATTTTTCTTCAGTAACATTTATACATTATGCATGCAATTCTCTAATACAGTGAACATTTCTTATAAAATTTTTTAACCATTGTCCATTGTAGAAAGGTGATCAACATCATGATGAATCTGTCACAGTGAAAACAGAATCCGTGGTACAAATCATTTCAAGTCTTCTAAAGGTAAATAACAAATGTATACAAGATACAGTGAAAATCATTTTATTTTCTATGTAATATCATATTATACCAGCTTGAATAGTTATAATTTCTAAAATAGTTTTACATATTTTTTTTGGATTTTTCCTTAACTTTAAAGGTTATTGGCTAAAGTTATAAAACCAAGCTTCATCAGGTCATGTCATACTGTGATATGTTTTCATTTCTTTTAATGTTTTATTTCCAGTTTGTTTAAAAGCTGGTGTATAATTAGTGAGCAATAGCTTACAGTGCATTTTGGTTTGCATATGCCAGTTCCGAGAAAGGGTAGTTAGTTGAATCTGTTTTGTGACTTCCATCACCATGTGACCAAAATGTAGGTATCGTCACTTCCAACACATGTTGAGTGAACAGGTGAAAAAATTTGATGCTATACTGCACAAAATGTTAGGGAAATTAAAATCTAATTAGTTGGTCACCCTTCAGTCATACGGGAATTAAGATTACTTACTAACGAAACATAAATTATTTCTAGAATACCCTGCAGAATGATGATTCTGAAAATGCTTGAAACTTTAATAGTGCAAGGATACAAGCCCACCTTCTATCTAGTAAATGACGTCATAATGGCGTGCGAAATCAACTCTTTTCCCGGTGAAAGACATGATTCAAGAAAAAGCCTATTATCTTTATATTATTGTATAAGGAATTTACAGTACTTTACTTTAACAGTAGTCCGTCTCTAAATATATCCACGACTGCCTATTGATCTTTGGCAGAATGCTAGTATCAAGGGTAGGAGCACTTGGGTTTCTTCTCTGGCCATGTTAAACCAGACTTCAAAATTATTATTTACTTTTTCCTCTGCAGGAATTAAAGTGACATTTCTTCCTCTTATCTGTGACTTTGTGAGCTGGCCTGTTTAAAAACTTCTTGCTCAATTTCTTATTGTAATCGTTACATTTTCCAGGTGAAGGAGAAGACATTAGTAGATGCCTTGACACAGAAAAGAGCTACAGCAGGAGACGAGACAGTGTTCATGAACTATAAAATGGAGGATGTAAGTGTTTATCCTCAGGAGTAACCATAGGCTTTTATTTTCATTGGTCCAAAATACCAGTTTTGAGAAATTTAGCATACTTATATTTTGGAGGTCATATTTTTATCAAATTGAAAATGTTAAATCTATAAAAAGAAATCACAAATTAAGATTTTTTTTTTATTATTTTATTTAATTTGCAAAATTTAATGAATTAGATTGACAAGCATAAGTTTGTCAGTCAGATTTTTGTCAAGTATAAAGTTAAACTACACTATACAAAGTGATATTGTCTCTGGCTTTCTAAAACAGGCAATTTATCTCTTCCTGAATAATAATTGAATAACTTCTAATTCAAATTGTAATTTCTTACTGAAAAAATATCATGGAAGACCTGAATACTGTAAATTCAGAAATTATTGCATGCATTTATTTCAAAATGCGAGTTTCAATTATTGCGATTATAACCCTGTCGCATTTTTCGCAATAATAAAAACATCGCAATAATTTCTGAATTTACAGTATTTGTATAGCTTTCTAATAATGAGTGATACTTGTTATTTGTTTTAAGGCAATAGCTACCAGAGATGCCATGGCAAAATGTTTGTATGGTGCTCTGTTTGACTGGATTGTTCTGAAAGTGAACCAGGCTCTGTTAGCAAAACGACATCACAGTGATCATCAGGTAAAAGAATTGTAAACAAGTTAGCGTATTCGTAGGATAAAATCAGTCGCTTAAAATAGTTTAGATAGGTTTTAAATCAAGAATAAGTATAACATAAATATCAGCGACTTTACTGAAAAGTTCTCTTCAAGATGCGTATAAAGCCGAGATATTTTGAAAACGAGCAACAGTAGTAATATTTTCTATGTTAGATTTGCATTTTATGGTTATCCAGTGTTTTCAAAAGAGGATTATACATAGTGTGGCCCCATGCATTTATTTAGACACCATCCTTCAAAATTTGAAATTCCCTATTCTTTATAAGCCCCATCCTTCATAATTCATGACCACCATTCTTTCAGACACAATCTCAAATCCTTAAAAATTTCTATGAAAAAAAACTGTTATTTGCGATTAAAATATGCTTGTTTGTAAAAAAGGGATTCTTTATTTTTCATAAAAGAAAATACAGGAAGTGCTTTCAGGACAACAAGTTTCTATATTGTGTTCTCTTTAAAATTTTTCTGAGCAAAATTTGTCATTATCAACATTGAAATATAAAAATATGGTACAAGAAATATCGGATGGAAATAAAAATGTATTTCTGGTTTCAGTATACAGGCCAATCAAATAAAGTAGTGAGTTCTATTTCTGTTGTATGTTAAAGAAACAAATTATTTATAAATAGCACATTTCACTCAGGGGTTTCATAAACTCATGGTAGCAAAGAAACACACTTAATGCACTGAGGCTGAATGAAAAAGGAAACTTAGTTGTGTTGTCATTCTCTTTAATGTCTGTTTTTCAAAATGCATGTTTGTAAAAGTTTAAACATCACATTGGTAAATATAAGAGCATTTGTATTGTTGTAGTTGTAGACATTTAATTTCCTTATTACTTTTTAAAGACAATATTGTGAAAGACTTTTGATTTCCTTGACAACTGTTTCATTATAACATACGTTGTACCTAGGGAAGGTGCTTTCAAAATGAGGCAACCCCTATGAGGAGAAATTTTGAATTTTGGTCCATTATACCTCCTCTATAATGTAACTTCTATTTACCTTAGGTAGAGCTATTTTCTCCACTTTTCATGTTTACTAAAATCATTTCCAAGATGATTGTTATACGTGGATGCCCTTCAGTTACTTTGGCAATTGTTTTTAGATCAACCAGTGTTGACTTCAAAAAGAAGCCTTCGTACCTGCCACCTTTTCAAAATCTGAATGGGTGATTTTAAGTGTAAGAGGAACTAATGCTCCTGTATTGAGTCCTATCATATTGCCATAACAATTTTTAATCTACTTCTATATTGTTTGATTGAGTATTTATATACTTAAATACCATTTTAAGTCATTTGAATGCCTGTTATGAGGTGTTCAGTTTATAAAATAGAGAATTCCAAAATCAAGGTCAGCACCTCTCATGGGGGATATCCCCCCATAAATCGTGAAAATTGGCAGGTCTGAGCTGCCTTTTAAAAAAATGCATTTACTATGGCTAGAATGATACTCTTTATTGATTTACTATGGTACTTTGCATACTTTTTTCAGACTAGAAAAGTGAGTATAAGGCACACCTTCTATTCATACATCTTTCTCTTAGTATATGCATAATATGCATATACATGCATTGCCAGGCAATATTTGTGGGTCTTACGTCATAAGTAGGAAATTCTGTTAAAACTGCATTTAACCTTACCAGCTTTGGTGAAATAAAACTTGGGATTTTTTATTCAACATTAATAAATTAAAAGGTGTTTTTCTAAAGTGAAAATAGAGGACTGATCATTTATATCTGCTTCACAGCATTCAACAACTTTAGTAAAAATCTTTTACTTCTGAAAATATTTTGTTGCAAGTAATCAGTTTTGTTTAAATTTGATCTAGAGCTGTTTAAAAAATTTGTAGGTGTTGAAACTCCCAACGGCTCAAGTGAAACTCAGATATTTGTAATGTAAAATCACTATTCAAGCTGTTTTACCTGAGCAATACTAGTTTCAACACACAATATTTGTCTAAATAGATCTTGATAAAATTTAAATTGAACTTATCTATTGTATGAAAACAGGTCAACACATATTAGTGGTTTCTCTTGTAATATCTGATTTATTTTATCCATAAGAACTTAAGCATAAGATGAAATTTGTTTTCACTGGAATATATGCTTATTTGAAGATTATTGTTTAAAATTTCAAATTAGATTTAAGTGAATCATTATAAGTATTACTATTTCCTCTATAATTTGAAAAAAATGTATTCCAATTCTTTATATAATCTTTTTGATACCAATTCTTTAGTGGATGTTTGAAAAAGTATATAGTCTTTCCTTATATTTGTATATGTGTTCCTGTCAGTTTTAAACCTCTCAATATTCCAATAACTTTTTGTATTCACTGTGTAAAAAATTTCACTTCTATACATAAGAATTATTGTCCTAAAAAGATAGTTTTTGATATAATGTCATTTGAGTTGGAGTTATTTCCCTTGGCTCTGTGTTTGAGGTGAAATTGGCTGATTTTCTTATTAGTTCCAACAAAATTTAAACTTGCTGTACAAGCAAGTCTGAGAAGAGATCTGTACTTAATCATAGTGATGAATTATGCAAAGCTTAAACAAATTAAAAGTGTTCAGAAATTAACCTTTTTAAGTCTAGAAATCAGTAGAACAAGTTGAATTTGATTGATTTATGAACAAATTCATGCAATGTTGATGGAAAACATGACTGGAAAGGTAAATAACTCTTTATTCATACTATTAGCTGAAGACTAAAGCCTGGCATAGTGTGTACAATATCAATGTGAATTGTGTTGTATGTTTACAAAAGATAGTAACTGTAAGAGCAGTATTCTGGGTGAAAACAAATTTCACAGCATTCAGATACCATACTAAATGTTCTATACTACAAATAGGTAGAAGTTAAAACTCAATTGCTTTAATGTCAAATTTTTATTTGAATTATTTTTGGTTAATAAAAAATATATATGGAAGACTTCAATGAGACAGCAACTCAAAAATCTGGTCTTCCAAGATTTAACATAGGAGGGATCATATTTATATCAATGCAACTTAGTGTCCTTGTCATTTTATTAACACTACCCCAAAAATAAGTAGAGAAATAATTTAACAAAGACAATAAAAAATATGAAAACTGTTTCATAAAGCAATCATGATGATGGAAAAGAAAGGGTATGGTGTATCAATTTGTGATTATAAATCACTTCCCACACATTCAACAAAACAAGAACAAAGGAACTGCTTTTATTGCTGTTATTCGTCTCAAAGTTACAGTGCGACCTTCAACATTAGTTTATGTAAAATAAAAAGAATTATGTGTGTGTAATTGATTATGTACATGTATTTTTTATGCAAGTAAGTTGTAGGATTACTTTGTGATACAGTTAAAATTAAACACTACATTTGAATATGTTTATAGCATAAACCAAGTATGTGTAAACCAATTGTCTTACTAGTTTTCTGTTCTATTTTAGATTTATCAATAGATATTTGAAATAATGTTGGATATGGAAACCAAATTTGCTTAGGCAAATCTATGATAAAGTTACCTCAAATAAGCTTTTTCATACGAGTAATATTGTTTTCAACATTTAATTTTTTTAATATTCCTAATTAATTTTGGGTTAAACTGACTACGGTATTAACAATTATTTTGGTGAACACAGTAATGGTTTATTCTGTAAAAAAGGAAAAGATGTTTGAAAGACAGTTATAGTTCAAAAAGCACTTGTATATGATATAAGGAGATACACATATTAATTACCCTGGATACACATATATTACCCTAGTGTAACTCTAGATGCAAGCATTTCCAAAACTCATTCATTACGACTTGAGCTTTTCACGTTTAATGCTTAGGCTAAATTAAGACTGAAGAAAGGTTTTTACTTCTAAAACAAAATGTTTAACTTGAAGGTAGATGCTTTGGCAATAACCATGTGCATTATTAAGGAAAGCCAGATGAATAGGAAAATATGTGTATGTGTGTGTTTGATTGAGAGCATGCATTTTATGTGTGATGTATTTTTTGTCTTCAAATTTAGAATAAAATCTGCATGAGATAAACAGAAAATCTAGATGTTGCATTGCAAAGTTTTTGTAATTGTGGGTATCACTTTATTCTTAACATGTGTATAAAAAATTCTTAACATATGTTTAAAATATTCTTAACATGTATATAAAAAATTCTTAACATGTGTATAAAATATTTACCATAAGTATTATGACATGCCATTAAGATATCTGATTTTTACTGATCACACATGCAAATTTAAGCTATAACATGCATTTTTTCAATGAATGCAGGCTTTAATATATTTTTATGCCCCGTCGCAGCATAGAGGACATTAAGTGTTACCCTTATCCATCTGTATATCCATCCTTCCGTCCATACATCCCAAAATTAGTTTCCGTTCTCTAACTTTAGTTTGCCACAACCAAATTTTATGAAACTTGCACACAATGCTTAATACCACAAAACACAGATCAAGTTTGAATTTGGGTGGCGTTACTTTTACTGTTCTTGAGTTGTGTCCCTTTATAACGTTATATTCAAGCGGGGCATCATCTGTGTCCCATGGACACATTCTCCATTAATATTTAATTCCTCTACAGAATTTACTAATAAACAATGTAGAGAGAGTAACTGCTTACATTCAAACACATTCACAATTATTGGAGATTTTGGTTTGTGGTTATGTTTACTGAACAACATAGCCTTTAAAAGTTAGAACATGCCTTGAAATTTAGTAATGTGAGGTTAATGATTATCCACTGAGGTTACATCAGGAAGGATTAATACACTCTCCAGTTTTCAGGCAAATGGTCAGTCCAGTTTAAATTCGTCATCAGCTAAATTTTATAACAATGTTAATCTTTGGAATCAATATATATGGCTGTGATGAAAAAGCTTTGACCTAGTGACTTGAACTTTGTTTAAATGGAGTACGGTTTAAGTATTTTTGGTTTTAACACCTGAAATATGGTACTTGAAAGAAAACAATGAAGGGTTTCTAGTGTAATTATACCTTGTTTTTATTAATTTTTGACTCACATAATAGCAAAGCTGTAATGACACTTAGGGATTACCTTGGTTGTCTTGTGTCATCATCCATGTTACATATGTGTCACACTTTGTTGATTCTAACTCTATGAAAACGGCTTGACAGAATTCAACCTGCACAGATTCTTTTGCAGGTTACATAGTTGTGTACCTGCTATTTACATTTTTGATCTGAATGATTTTCCCGGTCTCTCATACCAAAACATGGACTTCATTATTTCTGCTGATATTTTTTGGAGACAGAAGGCGACAAACATTTCCCATGAAAAACATACACATTTTCATAGTTACAGAATCTTGTATTTTGGAAAAGTAAAATTTATGCTACTTTTGGACTAATATTGAAAATTTTGTTGAATATTTATGCATGTTTTTTTAATTTCCTAAGAAATAGAAATAAATTCATGGTTCATTACTAATGATAATGAATAAAGGGGGAGAATAGTGAAAAGAAATAAAAAATAAAAAAGACATAAACATACATATATATATATATATTCTCAAAATTTTTTTGAGCAATTAACTTATATGGCAGTTTATGTTTTATCTCTACTTTATGTTAGCAAATTTAAAAAGAATTAAGTGGTTGAATATTTTTCTCTTCACACTGCAAATAGGTTTACATGCTAATTCATGTTTTATGCACAAATGGAAACATGTTTCCTCTAGATATTGCAGTCACTAAATACATACCTTTCTAACTTTAATTATGTCTTATTTCAGGGTAACTCTATAGGAGTGTTAGATATTTTTGGATTTGAAGATTTCACAAAGAATAGTTTTGAACAGTTCTGTATAAACTACGCCAACGAACATTTGCAGTATTACTTTAATCAACATATCTTCAAATTTGAACAGGTTTGTTGGCTTTGTAATCATATAGGTTCTTATCATATACTTTATACACATAATAGTCAACCTCGGAACAATATCTTAGGTCTATTATTGACCAGTTAAAAGGCAAAGAGCAGGCTAATGTTTATGAAAATTGCAGTTAAATTTGAGAGCTTGCTTTTTGGGCAATGTGTATATAGTTCATGTTTAATCTTTAAACTATTTTTTCTGCTAGTGTGTGATTAAATTAAAAAATGTCAGATTTAACGGCAACATTGTTATTAGGGCCTGCCGAATGGCGGACGTCCTATAGTGATCAGTCTGTCCGTCTGTCCATGTCCATCCGTCCGTCCGTCCGTCCATCCGTCCGTCCATCCGTCTGTCTGCCCGTCCGTCCGTAACAAATTGTGTCCACTCTATATCTAGAGAACCATTATGATTTCAAAGTTTATACTTGACATGTATATTAACCAACACCAGAGGGTGTGTCATAATGTATGTACAACTTCCTAGGTCAAAGGTCAAGGTCAAAAACTTTGGTTATATTTGACAACCCCATGTCCTATGCGTCGCTTCCAAAATTTCCTGACGACAGCCGGACATTTTTCAAAGAAATATTTTTGACGGTCAATGATCAGCTGGATACTTAAATGTAACTGAGAGGATGCATAAATTGATATATGTGTCTAAATAATTAGTAGTGTTATATGCAATAAATTTATTTATAACTGTTTTGTTTTCTTCATTCTAAAAATAAATAAAATATTATCCTCGGTATTGTGTCATTTTTCTGTGTATTGTAATACAGTAACCATCATTGCATCAATCAGCTTCAGTACCTGACTGTTCTCATGTTTTTTTTCTGTTTATATAATCTATCTTCTCTCTGTGAGTACTTAACACTTTGTAAATTAAGGCCATCTTATTTGAAACTGTTGATGTTGGCTTTAATTGCAGTACAACTTGATCATCAATACACGTGATACTTTTCTTTTTGTGTATTGATTACCTGACCACGTGACTTTTACAACTGATGCGGTATTTATAGATAACATTGAGGAGGCCCAATGAAGGATATTGTTTTAAACCGTGTAAAATCTACTGAACAGTGATAACATTTTTCTTTGTACAATGATAAGTACAAAATTAAATGTTTTTGCGTAGCCAGATCAGTTGACTCGTCGATCATAATTCCCACGGCGGGACTTAACTTTACGTCGGACATCACCTCTTTCTCTATAACATCGGAAATTGTCTGAATAAATTCGGAGGAGGCAACATTGTTCTCTTGATATAATTTAGAAGTGATCACGGCACCATTTAACTTAGTTAAATCATTTATTGACTGAAATTTGTCCATTGGTAAGTTGTCTTTAGCAATAAAGTAAGCATTACGGAACAAGGTGCACATTGCGCCGTTGTCAGTCTTTTCATGAACTTTCTCAAATACTGATACAATTGGATTACTTTTGGAAGCTGTCTCTAATTTAAGAGCTTGAATGTGGTCATTGCTATAAGCATGCTCTACAACGGCTGACTTTCGAAAATTTGTCGAACCAGGCTTTACAAAGTTATTTTTAAGTTTATGTTTTTGACAAATGTCACAAAACATGGCATTTAGCATACTGTCAAATCTTAACCATAAAAACAGTTGTAACCATTTATGAATAAAGCTTCTAGCAGATTTCGAATTTTGATCGGAATCGTCACGTTTACGTTTGCCCATGATGGCAGATTTGTAAAGTTCAATTTGAGACAAAGTCTTTATAACAGTCGGAGATTGTCATGATTGGATATTATTCTTTATGATTTTAATTATAAAAACAGTTTTTAATATGAAAACAAGAATAGAGAACGCCCCCTTATTTATTGGACAACTCAGCTTGGTACAGTTTTTCCTATATATTTTAGTAAATTTTCCCCTTGAGAGTACCCCAGTATTTAACACGATGTACAGTGTTAAATAAAATAATATATATCATACTTATTCATTTACAATTATCCTTATTTGAAGAATAACTTTTAAATATCAGGATACTTTTTTAAACTGAATGCTCATTTAAAATAATATCTATAAAGCGTAATTAAATAGGATGTTGTTCCATACACGCTTACATGTTTGACCTCGTTTACCTGATTACCTTTATGTACATTGTTATGAATCATTAATTCTATTGATAAAGACAAGCTAAGGACACCTCATCAAAGGTAACAAACCTGTAATCAGTGAATGATTTATGGCTTCAATATAACTTATTGAAGGGATAATTGTTTGACAGCTTGTTGTTATTTAAATAAAAGAAAACGTGTTTTTTCTACTTTTTATTGATGTACACAAGCTAAAGACCAAGCCGTACATTTATGTACCCAGAGGATTAGACTAACTGAGACACTTCAAAGTATCTGAAATATGCTGCTTCTGTTTTATTAAACCCAATTATGACCGAAATATCTTTGTGAAATAGATTGCCACAATTATAAACTAAAATGCCCAAACGGACATTTTTATCGATCGATAGTTGGTAAAAATTGAAATGACCGTTTCATGAAAATGCCTTGAATAACAAAATGTGGCACACCAATTCTATTTGACCGTTTGAGGCTGAGAGCAGCCGGTCTTTTTATGAAAGTTTCGGTCAAGTCCGGAATATATGACCGTTTTGGAAGCCCTGGTCCTATGGTAAAGATCGTGTCCGCTCTATATCTTGAGAACCGTTATGATTTCAAAGTTTATACTTGACATGTATATAAACCAACACCAGAGGGTGTGTCATAATTTATGTACAACTCCCTAGGTCAAAGGTCAAGGTCAAAAACTTTGTTAAGTTGACAACCCCATGTCCTATGGTAAAGATTGTGTCCGCTCTATATCTTGAGAACCGTTATGATTTCAAAGTTAATACTTGACATGTATATAAACCAACACCAGAGGGTGTGTCATAATTTATGTATAACTTCCTAGGTCAAAGGTGAAGGTCAAAAACTTTGGTTTCAGTGTGATAATTTCATGCGTGACACACATTATTCAGAATACTTTCTCACATGCGCAGTTCATCGTAAAGGAAGCACCTGTTTGACTCGAGAAAACAGTTCTGAATGTTATGAATAAAGTTCTATCTTTTTGATCGAAATTGTCGAAAGGTTTTGATTAAAAGTTATATCAAATATGATGAAAATACGTTCATTTGACGAAACTACGACAAGCGAACTGCAAATTGTGATCGTTTGAGAAATATTGAAATTAAAATGCGAACTGTCCGAGGGAAAACTCAAATGACGAAACTACGACAAACGAACTGCAAATTGTGCTCGTTTGATAAATATTGAAATTGAAATGCGGACTGACTGATTTTACTGGGAAAATAATTATGATGATCAATTATGAGGTTGATAAATAATTAACGCATTATTGACCCATCCGATGGCGATAAGCGGATTATCTGTAATCACAACTTACAACACCTGTTATAAATGTTAATTAGCTGAGGGTCATGAATTTGTCAGAAACAATAAGACAGGTAGAATTATAGTATTTTCATGCGAAAATATTTTTACTCTTTCTAAATTTAAGTGATGAAATTGATTTGGAAATTTTAGTCATTTTGAAATGACCAAAATGACGAGCGCTAGCAAATCACTGATTATTGTAATACTGGGTGAAATTCAAAAAAAAAAAAAAACAACAAATGTTTGGGTTGATAATTATAAGGATTAGACACATTCTGTTAGTGAGTACTGTGGATTCATTATTGTTCTTGGGATACCAGTTTTCATGGATTTCGTGGCTATTGGTAAACCACTAATTTAGATGTTCAACGAAGTACAAATTTTCTATAAGCTTGAATGCAGACTTTGGCCAAACCAGGAAATCAAGTATCCACAAAAAGTTTCCTCAATCCAAGAAAATTGGAACACACGAAAATAATTGAGTCCACAGTACATCAGCTTCGGTTAGTTTAGGATAAGACCTAAAGTGTTAGTTTAGTATAGCCCTATGTTGACAAGGTGAAATATTTGTGTAGATTTCATACATAGAAAATGAAAGGATATGGAGTAAATGTATATGGGACAAAATCGTACACAATACATAGAAAACATAGAAAATTATCAATGAACAGGGCTTTTATTCCTGTTCTTCATCTTGACAGTTGATGTTGGGTCTTCAACAATGAACGATTCATTCATACCCTACAACAAGGTCAAGACGGCCCCTAGCGTCGACTTAAGCGGTACTATTGATAAAAATAAAGCAAAGTTCACCTTATAACTACATTCAATAAGTCCATACCATTTTAAAGAAAATTTTGATAATATACCTATGTGTTTATTACTTTCAGGAGGAATACAAGAAAGAGGGAATTCAGTGGAAGAATATTGAGTTTATAGACAATACTGGATGTTTAGAATTGTTTTCTAAGAGAGGAACTGGACTTTTCCCTCTCTTAGATGAAGAGTGCAAGTAAGTATTTTATGAAGTGGTAATTTGGAAAGTAAGGGAAATTTTATATTCCCATACCAGTTGATGCTCTTATTTATTAACCTTGTCCAATTTAACTGAAAGTGGTTGTTATGTAATACTCAGCTTCAGTGTAAGGAATAATTATTAACTTTTTGTTCTCCAGCTTGATAATGTTAAGTAGTAATTAGTAAGCTAGTTTAAGGATAACCTTGTTTATATTTTTAAAAAAAGACTGAAACTAACAATACTCAAGAAATTGGCATAAAGGGAAAACATATATAGTGCAGATGAAAAGGTTAGTAATGCAAAAAAATTTGAGAAGTTTTTGAAATACTAAAAGCTTGTTCATTATTTTAGTTGCATGTTTAATTCCATTCATAGAATGAAATTAGAATTAATGATAACATAAATCACACATGTATATACTGTGTTCCTTTCTGTTGCAACCCCAGCACTCAAGGGTTCGAAAATAAAATACAAAATGAGATTGAGATAATGAAAAGAAAATCATGAAGATATTTATTTTGTTTCTTTCAGTTTTCCTGGTGCTACAAATACCTCTTTACTGACTAAATTTAATCACCACAACAAAAGTTACACATATTATCAAGTACCACAACTCAAAGAAGAAGCTTTCTTTATTGTACATTATGCTGGCAAAGTCAAATATCAGATCAAGGTATAGTGTTTATATTTAAAATTAATTTATCAGTGACAGAAATACAGTTTTGACATTATAGAATTTTAGCCTTGTAATTGGCATGTTCAATAGGTATTAAATCTTAAGTATACAATGTGTTCTCTGTCAGGGCTAGCTGATTCAGATTAAGTCCACATCTAAAAAATTTGCCTGTTAATTTGTTTTCTTATAAGGCAATAAAGTTTGATAAAAAAAAACAAAAAAGGTAGTTTCCTGGTAGTGTGCTGACAGACTGCTCAAGGTTGAAGATTAGTCTCCGACTTGCTTAAATCAGAGACTTCAGAATGGGTAAGATCTGCTCCCCTTTGATACGGTAAGTGCAAAAACCTGTCGGTTTGGAGGATATTATCATAGAACTATGTCAACATTATTGAGTATAAAATTTTAGCCGATAAACTTCTTATGCATATGGAGTTTGTGAATGGATATACCCTTTGGCATCCTTTTTTTTATTGCTATGTGAATAGAAGTCATATAGGTAATGGTTTAGAAAGCTAAGTTCTGAGCAATTTGTGCGAATTAACTCTACATCTGATGCATGATTCACTGTTTAAATGTTGTTCCAAGGAAAACATGAAAATGCTATATCAAGTGATCAGGGTTTAAGCATGGATTTTGTGGGCTTTAGTCACTTTTGAGCGATATGAAAATCAACCTTCTTTTGTGTAACAGCAAGGGACCAAGGATGTATATTACCATCTATACATCTTTGTCAGACTTTGAAGGACTTAAGCATGCTTGGCAGTTATAGCATGATTTGACTGGTTTGACCCTTATTATAAAAAGATTCCGATATAGGATCCGAAAATCAAGTTCCCATTTCACATCAGTTTGTTCCAGGGGACATTCCTGATCAACAAAAGTTGAATTCCATTTTTATAAAGGAGTCACAGCAGAAATGAACTTGCAATGATTATCTCACTGCATAATCATTATCCTTATAAAACGTTTAAATCAATATTTGGAAATCATTTCTACTAAGTCGAAACTAACGATGTACAAATCCTCATTGGAATGATTCTAATGACTGTAAGGGGGTTGTAAATATTAGATCATGTTTACTTTCAGTTTTAAAATGAAATGAAAACGGGAAGTGACACGTGAATAATAAATTCAAAATGAATCTGGATTCATCTACGGATTGGTTCGTGTTTTAAAAAAGGCAGGAAACTATAATTTTCTAAATTAATTTGCTTAGTAAGAGAGATATATTTGTCTCTCTTGTTTAATTTATACTAAATAATTTCGTATTTTAATGTTTTAGAGTCAATACTTTCACGCATGCGTAGTACATAGTACAGGAAGCACCTGTTTGACTCTTGAAAACATTTCTTAACGTTTTGAATAAATTAAGTTCTATCTTTTTAATCGAAATTGTGGAATGTTTTTGATGAAAAGTTATATCAAATATGACAAAAATGCATTCAAATGACGAAACTACGACAAACGAACTTCAAATTGTGATCGTTTGAGAAATATTGAAATTAAAAACATGCGAACTGTCCGGGGGAAAACAATTTTGATCAAATGACGATACTACTTGTGGTTGTTGAAATGCCGACTGACTGATTTCACTGGGGAAAATAATTATGATGGTCATTTTATGAGGTTTATTAATAATTAACGGATTAGTGACCCATATGATGGCGATAAGAGGATTAGCTATCACAACTTGTAACACCTGTTGTAAATGTTAATTACCTGAGGGTCATAAACTTGTCAGAAACATGAAGACAGGTAGATTTATAGTATTTTCATGCGAAAATAGTTTTACACTTTCAAAATTTAAGTGTCAGACGAAATTGATTTAAAAAACTATCGTCATTTTGAAAACCGTTTCGTTAATGACGAAAATGTTGAGCGCTAGCAAAATCACTGCCAGTGATGGTCATCATACATGTATAATAATAAGTAGGTGATTTTGACCTACATTTAATGCCTTAGTGTATTAAGCTTATTGGTATATATGTTAAATCAACTCCAGTTAGGCAACTATGACTTAGGACTGTTCCATTAAAACATGTATGGTACCCAGGGAAGGAACTTTCAATACGAATAAACAACCTGTAGAGACAATTTCAGAAATTTATTTTCCATATACCAAAAAGTATTTGACACCCACCAATAGTTGAAACTTCAAATTTCCTTCCCTAGGTCCCATGTTTGATTTTATGGAAAAGCCCTTGATGATTTCAAATAGTTAAGTAGAATTATAAACAAATTTGATTGATTTTGCAGGATTTCAGAGAGAAGAATGGAGACCAGATCAGACCAGAAATAGTCAGTGTACTGAAGAGTAGCTCACTCACATTTGTTAGAGAAGTCATGGGTAAGTTAGAATCCTTAAAAAAAGATTTTTTGTATATAACATGCCTTTCAATTTCACAAGAGTCTAATGCTTTTATATATTAATGGCAGTGCTTACTTACATTTAATAAAATGCATCTTTGAAACATACAATGTCACATTTGACCAAAACAAACAGCACACAAGAATTTCCTTGTCTTTAAATTACAGATTTTAAAATGTCCACAATACAGATATATTTTAAAGAAGTTCTGTGTAAAACATATAGTCCTATTATGTACAAACTGACTTCATAATTGTTGAAGCCATCAGACGTTTTAGCAGCCAGCAATAAATTAGTACAGTAAAATAGGAAGATACCAAGGGAACAATCATAATGGCATATCTATATACAACACCATGACAAATCAGTCTGCACCGTTAGCCACCAGTTCGATGCCCCAGACTAGTAAAATTTAAATGCAATTAAAAGCATTTGAAACAAAAAAATGTCTCTTTTAAGAAAAATGAGACTAGAGATCAGCCTACTTTATAGCTAAATATTACACTAGTTTCTAAAGCCATTTTTATTTCTGAAAATAGATCTGACAAATTACAAGAGAATATTTATAAGGTTAAACCATTGCCATTAAAACATCTCTTGTGGTGAATATATATAAGGTTAAACCATTGCCATTAAAACATCTCTTGTGAATGTATAAATATTAATTGAGCTGTTTGTTTCAATGTCGAAAAATGACATAGTATTGCATTTTTTTCAGGAATTGACCCAGTTGCCTTACTACGGTGGTCTATAATTAGAACGTTGATTAGAAGTGTATTTGCCTTCACTGCTGCAGGGGATAATTACAGAACTTCTAATAGTAAATATATAGTTAAAATTCTTTTCTTTAAGGTAGTTCAAAACTTTATGATTATGTAAGGACTCTATGTGTTAATGGCCTCATTAATCCTGTAAAATGAAATATGTCCAATTCATATGATTTATTCGTCTTTAGTTTGAACTATTTGGTTTTTCAGATTTTGTTTATTTCAAATATTATCTAGCATAATGAGGTCAAAAGAATAGGCAAATTTAAATTTTGTTGATGAAATGACAAATTGATAAGTTCACTTAGTGAGTGAAAAGCAGGAGCCGCGTTTGAATATTTATCAGAAATATGTTGTTCATATAGGCAGATGCTGTTGCAAATCACCTAGTAAGTTTTATGCATGCACTCAATAATTTCAAATCTAAATATAATAATGAAATACTTTAAAAAATATTTTTTAATTAGTTTTATTGTGCTCTAATGACTCCTGAAGTATTTGGTTACATGTAGTATTAACCCAACTTAAATATGGACATCTTACAAAATTAATATTTTGGTGGAAAATTAGATCTAATTTAACCCTATTGTTCTCTTTTTTAACTTGAGAACATGTTATAATAGAGATATCTGTAAAAGCAATCTAACATATACTTTATTAACTTTTCTGACATACTTAAAAAGTTTGTATTTGGTGATGGAACTTCTTTTTCATAAGTGTATCCATTCTCAAATATATAATGGTAAGTTCATTAAAAGCAGAGTATATGCAATTGGGTGATATTTCAGAATTTGCTTTTTGAACTCTGTGATCTGCATCTACATGTACACATAGAAAAAAAAATTTCATGTACCATGTCAAATTCAAGGGATACAATCAATTTGTGAAACAGTTAGAATGTATGTAAAAGACAGTGAAAGAAATGCATTTTTCACTTTAATTTGCCATTTCTTGAAACCTGTCCACAGATATTTGTTTAACACTTGTTCAGCATTATATAATTGAAAAAGTGATATGAATTATTTTGAAATGATTATTTAAAAAAAAATTTGTTTTTATCCGTGCTTCAATTATTTCAGGATTAAGGATAAATACAAATTCACAGAGAAGAGGATCAGATTATTCCCTACCAGATTCTCTCATACCTAGTGAAAATTTGCTCAGGTAGGATCTGTTTAATTAAACTTGTCACTCAAAGTTACATTCTCTTCTTTATTATGTTTTGTACACTTGAAAATATATTCTTTGTAAGGTCTGTATATTTCACTCATTTCCTAAAGTTTTTTTTCTCTTAGAAATTCATGTAAGCACAATGCTGGAATTTGTTTTACAGCACACATACTTATTTCACAGATGACTAATAAACTCTATGATTTTATCTTTTTTCCAATTTTCCGAAAGATGGGAGACATGTTATTTTTCTTTCAGTTCATCCTTCTGTAAAGACAAATTCTTTCACTGTTTACTTCTTAAGTAAACTTATACACATTGTTTTTCTCCATTATTAAATGTCAAGTTTTGTGTAAGTAAGCCCAAGAGTGCTTGCCACTGTTTGGTATAAATCAATGTTACCACTGCCACAAATGAGTTAACCTGAATGTAGAAGCCCAAATTTGGGTTTATCATTAGGTTAAACGTTTACTGTAATTTGTATTCAAGTAAGTTAAATTTTCATTTTCTTTGATGTTTTTTTATATCACTGTGTTTATTTTTCTGCTTTATAAGTTTTTAGTCACATTAAAATATTCATAGTGACTTAATTATATTTCTTTATTTAAGTGAGTGTTTATCTACCCCACTTGTGTCCCCTCCTTAGTTCAGCCAACAAATTACCAAAATGAAAATATCCATCATAAAAGATTTTAATATTTGTGAAAGCAAATATATTAGACTTCATTTCATTAATTCTTTTTAATTAAAAATGAAATAAACTTGAATTGACTTTCAATAGATGATTTAACTCAGCGAAATAGTTTTTTTTTACATTGGTAACTTTTGTACTTTAAAGATTTGTGAAGATAGCCAAGACGGCTAGTGTTTTAAGGAAAATTCAGTAAGTTAAAATGTTGTTATAAAATTGTTCCGATGCATGAAGTGGTATTTGGATGGCTGTGGAAACAATGTTGTAAGTTTTGATTGATATCTGCTGGTGATTATGAACATTGTTTTGTGGATTTATAAATATACTGGGATTTTCATACAATTTTCCTTTAACCTGCATTTGTGATGCAGGTTGTCTTGTTTTGATGTTTTCTTTATTTTGGGATCCCAGAGTGCCATATCTTTAAAAATAATTTCCAAGCCAATTTTATGTTGGGAATTGGAGAATACCATATATGTTTTTATGTTAATTTCCATATGGTTTTAAGTGTTATATTTTTGTTAAATTGATTTTTTGATTTTTACAGTTTTTTGCAATAAAAAATTAACAATAGACAAATTTTGTAAGCTCACTCTTAGCAGAGGATAATGGTCAGAATTCAAACGATCATGAAATTGTGAAAAAGTCATGGAATTTGTTTTCAGCAAAATATGACATTGAAATTTCAGTACCAAATTCTAAATTTTGATGAGATAGTCTTGAAATGTCATGAAACTCATGTTCGTTTCAATAGAGTTTATTAATCAGCAGAACAGTTCCAGAGCATGTCAAATGGTGAATATGATTTGGACTTTCGTGCAATGGTTAATACCCTTTGATGATCGTTTTTGAGATCTTGATCAATATTATATAGTTTAGAAATTTAAATACTTTCTGGAAAAAAAACACAACACATGACTAAATTTTTGCTTCTTTAAAAAAATTGTTAAGTAAACAGAACTAACTTTTGATATTTAGATTTGTCAGAATTTGTTACCCCCCTCAAAAGAAAATCAGTTTTATTATAATAAATGTGAATTTTGTATCTTGTTAAAGATCTGATCTGACACTACAAAGTGTGCATCAGTGGAAAAATTCAGAATTGCTCACTTCTAGTTTCCTCTTTCAGTAATCCATTGAACAAATTATTGAGTTAGATTTTCCTTATGTATTTTCTCTCTCTGTCTCTCTCTCTACAGACTTTTCTATTTCCTTTTCTTTTTCACAAGATACCTCCCCTTCAGCACAGCAAAAAATACCTTACATGGTAGGGTCTACTGTAGTTTACTGTTCATCTAGAAATAAATGTGTGCATTCATTAATGTGAATCGTCAAAAAATATCTGAAATGGGAAATTTATCACTGTGATCGCAATAAATTCTATTTAGATATGATTGATTAAAATTCAAAATATAAGCTTTATATAATACTATCGGAACACATTTACCTAATGAAAATGTCACATTGATTTCTTTATTTACAGCCTTTGTTCTTTCTGTTCATCATGATATTTTCCAACATTCTCTATATATGTAATATTGTCGTATAAATGTGCTTCATTGATTTAGAATGTATGTGTACTATTGCTGTTTCATTGCTATGGTTTTGAAGTGTAAATGTTTCATGAATTGTAAATTCTTGCTTTATTTCAAAATACAATAAAACCTTGTTCAGACAAATTACTATTGTTACCTTTGCAGCATTTGAATAGAGCTTTAAGGTTGACATATGATTTTATCAAAACACAGGACTTTTCCTTAGTCTCAATGAAAATCTTTGCTGTTGGGACTACCTAACTGAAATTGCAACCATGTCTAGACTACTTAATTGTGAAATTGCAACAGTTACTGTTTATCTTTAACCAGAACAAGGTTTTATTAATATTTTTGTTTGTTTTTTGCATCATGTTGTCTTTTTCTCTTTTAATTTGCATTACTTTATCTGTATAGTGCACGAAGCAAATCTCCATTGCATGATAAATCTGCATGTAATAATACAAAAGAAGACAGCGGTTGCTTCGATCCAGACGATGATGATGCTTTCTTAGACAGTGATCCAAGTGGAAAAATTTGTCTTACAAGTCCAGGATTGTCAAAAGACGAAAATCTTCTCATGCGTAAAGCTGAGAGAGTTTTGAAGTATGTTAATGATAATCATCGATTGTTGAAGAAATTCACACATGAAGATATTAATTAAGCAGAGAATATAAATATATATGCATTTCTTAAAAATAATCATTATAACAAGTTTTCCATGCTTGAAATTGCCTTCAATTGCATGTGATATTACATTTTAAAAGAAACTTGAAAATGTATTAACAATTAGAATCAATTCCAAGAAATTCTTACTTCATAAAGCATGATGCAGTATGGTGCCTAATAAAGCTTTCTGACACAATTGCCTAACAAATGAAAAAATACTGACACAGAAGCATACATGTTTAATAATTATTTCAAAGATATTAGATGTTATAACTTTTCGCTTGCCATTACTCTGTTACAGGAAAAACAAGTCATTCCGACCAAAGTCAAAGCCGCCTACAGTAAGTTTTTGTATGAAGTATTGCTTTATTTGTTTATAATTCCCCAATGATATAACTTTCTCTCTATTTATACCTCTGTCTGTCCATCCATCCATCCGTCAGTCTGTCAGTCCGTCAGTCCGTCCATCCGTCCCAGGTAAATTTTTTGTCACATCTTTCTCAGGAACTACAATACAAGGATTTCTGAAATTTGGTTTCAGTGTTTATATAAGTCAGCTATACCGTGTGATGCATTTTCAGATTCATCACTCAACAACTTTCTATTTACCGTCAAATATTTGGGCTGGGGGTATCATCAATGAGCAGTAGCTCGCAGTTTCACTTGTTTTTTTTAAGTTCATTTTTTATACGACCGCAAAAAAATTTTTGTGGTCGTATATTGGTATGACGTTGGCGTCGTCGTCGTCCGGCGTCGTCGTCATCGTCGTCTTGTCGTCGTCGTCGTCCGGCGTTGTCTGGCGTCGTCCGAAGACACATTGGTTTTCGCACTCTAACTTTAGTTTAAGTGAATGGATCTTTATGAAATTTTACCACAAGGTTCAATACCACAAAAGGAAGGTTGGGATTGATTTTGGGGGTTATGGTAATAACAGTAAAGGAATTAGGGGCCAAAAAGGGGCCAAAAATAAGCATTTTTGTAACTTCCAGACATAACTTGCGTGTTAGTGTATGGATCTCTCTGACATTGTACCACAAGGTTTCATATCACACAGGGAATGCTGGGATTGATTTTGGGGGTAATTGCTTCCAAATTTTAGGAATTAGGGGCCAAAAAAGGGGCAAAAAACAAGCATTTTTCTAGTTTCATGACAATAACTTGTGTGTAAGTGTATGGATCTTTCTGAAATTGTACTACAAGGTTCCATATCACAAAGGGAAAGCTGGGTTTGAGTTTGGGGGTAATTGCCCTAAACGTTTACGAATTTGGGGCCAAAAAGGGGCCAAAAAACACATTTTTTTCTAGTTTCCAGACAATAACTTGTGTTCAAGTGTATGGATCTCTCTGAAATTGTACTGCAAGGTACCATACCACAAAGGGAAGGCTGGGATTGAGTTTGGGGGTGATGAATCATAATGGGGGTTCAAAAAATTTTGGGGGGGGGGATTTATTTTTTTTTCCTTTTTTTTCTTTTTTTCCTTTTTTGTTTCTTTTAAAATTTTCCATTTTAAGTTGGTTATTTCTGATTTATATTTAAAATCAAATAATAATGATATGGTAGGAGATACACACCAAACAGGATGTGTAAATTATTATATAATAAGTATTGTGCAATAGCAAGAAATTTTCAATTGCACAGTATTGCACAATAGCAAGAAATCTTCAATTGCACAGTATTGCGCAATAGCAAGAAATCTTCAATTGCACAGTATTGCGCAATAGCAAGAAATATCCAATAGCACAATATTGCGCAATAGCAAGAAATTGTCAATTGTACAGTATTGCGCAATAGCAAGAAATCTTTAATAGCACAGGATTGTGCAAAAGAAGATACCTCCTATAAATTGCTTATTTCTTGACCAATTTCAATGGGGTTTTATTCTTGATTTCATGGGGTTCTTTAATATGCTGAATCTAACCGTGTATTTAGTTTTTGGATTTTGGGCCCCGTTTTTAAATTGGTCCACATTGAGGTCCAAAGGGTCCAAAATAAAACTTTGTTTGATTTCATCAAAAATTGAATTATTGGGGTTCTTTGATATGCCGAATCTAACTGTGTATTTAGATTCTTAAATTTTGGTTCCATTTTCAAATTGGTCTACATTAAGGTCCAAAGGGTCCAAAATTAAACTTAGTTTGATTTTAACAAAAATTGAATTCTTAGGGTTCTTTGATATGCTGAATCTAAACATGTATTTAGATTTTTGATTATGGGCCCAGTTTTCAAGTTGGTCCAAATCGGGGTCCAAAATTAAACTTTGTTTGATTTCAACAAAAATTGAATATATGGGGTTCTTTGATATGCTGAATCTAACCATGTATTTAGATTTTTGATTTTTGGGCCCCGTTATCAACTTTGTCCACATTGAGGTCAAAATGGTCCAAAATTAAACTTTGTTTGATTTCATCAAAAATTGAATTATTGGGATTCTTTGATATGCCGAATCTAACCGTGTATTTAGATTCTTAATTTTTGGTTCCGTTTTCAAATTGGTCTACATTAAGGTCCAAAGGGTCCAAAATTAAACTTAGTTTGATTTTAACAAAAATTGAATTCTTAGGGTTCTTTGATATGCTGAATCTAAACATGTATTTAGATTTTTGATTATGGGCCCAGTTTTCAAGTTGGTCCAAATCGGGGGTCCAAAATTAAACTTTGTTTGATTTCAACAAAAATTGAATATATGGGGTTCTTTGATATGCTGAATCTAACCATGTATTTAGATTTTTGATTTTTGGGCCCCGTTATCAACTTTGTCCACATTGAGGTCAAAAGGGTCCAAAATTAAACTTTGTTTGATTTCATCAAAAATTGAATTCTTGGGGTTCTTTGATATGCTGAATCTAACCATGTATTTAGATTTTGGATATTGGACCATAATAGGTGAATGTCCAATTTAAAATTTTTAAGTTCTTAGACCACATTCAATCTGTGTTAGAAACCTATGCTGTGTCAAATATTTAATCACAATCCAAATCCAAAGCTGTATCAAGCTTGAATGTTGTGTCCATACTTCCCCCAACTGTTCAGGGTACGACCTCTGCGGTCGTATCAAGCTGCGCCCTGCGGAGCATTTTATTGTAGATATGTTTTCATTGGGTTCTTAATAAAATTACATAAATAGTCAATTTATTTATATGAAAGTAAGGAAAGGGGTATTAAAATGTTATAATTTCCAAATATTACCTATTTTGTTAACAATCTTAGTGGACAGTATTGAGTAGTTGTTGATTAATTGAAATTTGATATTGGTTGTCCCATCTATGTCGGGTTTTGATGTAGACTGAAAGTGTCTATACCCATCACTCATTTGTGTGAGGAGTACAATGCTGTTTGAAAACCATGTTAAAAAATTGATATTAGATAATTTACACCATAAATCATAAAAAAGCTAATAGCCATTTCCTTGCATTCAGTTCAGTAAAGAAATAATTCATGTCAGCCATGGTTTACTGGAGATATAAGAGTTTTAGGGAAGGGTTAAAATTTGACAAATAATTCATTTCCTCTGGCTGCCATGAATTATTTCTAATTCACTAGGACAGCTCAGAACATTTGTTCTAATATATGACTATGAAAGACTTATTTGATGACTTTCAGATGCTAAGTGATATAAAAACACTAAAAGATATAGCCAGTCGTACTATGTATGGTAGTGGTAGAGATCCGTCTAGGAAACAGAAATCCAGTGTCAGTGCTCAATTCCAGTGGTCTTTAAATAGACTGATGTCAACGCTACAACAAGCTAACCCATTCTTCATCAGATGCATAAAATCTAATGCTGACAAGGTAAGGAGTGGCCCAGAAATTTAGAATGGTCTTCCCCTAAACAAGGTAATTAAGTGGTCCCCATTAAGAGTTATGGACTCTTTGATGAGTCTCTATTAAAATACTGATTTCTTCTTCTGGAATGAAAATGTCATCTTTCCAACCGTAATCCCAGTAGAATGAAGGTAAAAGACACAAGATCGTTCCTACATGTGAAGGATCTTTGGTTTAATAAAATAACTTACTTCTTTTGTAACATTGAAGTTTCAAAGACCTAATAGTTAACTACAAAACTAAAATTTAGTCATAAAGGTTGATATTATTTAATTGTATAGTCAGATATAACTATCTTCCTATTGTTCTAAAATCAATAATTTATGGAAGAACAAGTCAGTGGCACCGACAGGCAAACCTATTTTTGTCAGATGTAGCAAATATTGTAGGTTAAGAATTGAAGAGCTTCAATACCTGTTGTTAAGGTGTTCTCAATAAAGCATCAAACACATGGCAACAGACTTTTAAATTTTATTAAATGTGTCAAATCAGAGAATGTCTAATGCTGTCAGTAAATTTATAAATCCCTCTTTTATTGATATGCTTTTAAACAGAGATGGCAGTACAGCATGGTATTTATTGGTTCTGAATTTAATTCCAATGCTGACTGGAACTATAAGGAATGGAATTCTAGTATATGTAATCAAGTGGTCCTTTCTTGAAGCTTTATTTATACTTCAAATGCTCCAATGTTGCAACTGTCAACATGGGGCGGTTGTTGAGGTAAACTTGGTTAAGAAAACTGCAATTTTCATTTGAATGCCTCAACAGTACAAGCACTAGTGATAGTAGTTGGAAACAAAATTTAATGGACAATCACATTTTAGGCCATAACAATTATAACTTTAAAAATATGTAATAATCTCAAAAAATCTAAATACAGAATACATATTTATTTGGCTTCTTTGGTGTAAACATGAAGAAATATGTAACACTGTGGCTTTGATTTGTTATTAAGAAAACAACTGTTATAGTTAACTCCATATTATCTTAAGCTTTATATTTATTGTTTCTTTGTTTATTTGGAATCATTATATGTAACATGCCCTTTATGTGCCGATGACTGGTTTAATAAAGTATTTGTAAACATATGCGTAACAATTCCAAAAATTTTAAAAAAGGTATGAACAAGCCTTATGCTACACACTAACCTCCTTATAGGATCTTGTAATACACTTATACAGGTTAGCTCTCTAACAGTTGGAATTTTTGTATCACCAAACTTAAAAATTCTAGCTTATAATTAAAAAAAAAAAGGGATACAGACTAAATTGTTGATCTAATATTTATTATACCTCCTTATTTGTAGCTGCCTTGTACATTTGATGATGTATTGGTACTTAGACAGTTGAGATATACAGGAATGTTGGCAACAGTCAAGATAAGACAGTCAGGGTATAATCATCGACTCACATTTGATGTTAGTATTGTTGATGGTATTTTTGTTATATTAACATATGTCTTGTTTTCAATGATAGCAAAAAAGGTTTTTCTAAATATTCTATCAGTTAAAAACAGATTTTTTTAATATTTTTTCAATTATGTTAGGTGTGCAGGTGATAATTGATGATTTCAAAGGGTGTTAATAAAGTTTTAAATTGACTCAAAGCAACAACATTAGATACATTGTACATACAGAATTTTATTGTGCAAACAATATATTAGTCTGATGGAGAAATATTCCCTGTAAATTTTAGAAGTGTGTTTATCATAGTTTCAAAGAATTGATCTCTACTGTACTGTGTAAATGTACTTATTTCAGTCATAAAATTAATGTAAACTAATTACTGATTTACAGCTCTTTTCATAATGCTAGCAAGACAAAGGTTTGTTTGACTTGCTTGCTTTGTTTGTATAAATGTTTGCTCAAGCATTGTAAATAAGATTGACATCTGCAAACAATATAAGTAGGCGGAGTTAAACCTGTGTATAGGTAAATTTGATTATTTGATAATGTCCAATCAAATTTAAATATAATGTATACAAGTTTAAATCCGCCTTTTTATGTTGTCTTCAGATGTCAATCTTAATTACAATTCTTGAGCAAACATTGAAACAAACAAAGCAAGCAAGCCAAACTAACCTTTGTCTTGCTAGCATTATGAAAAGAGCTGTAAAAGAGAGGCGGAAGATACCAATGGGATATTCAAACTCGTAAGTCATGGTCAAACTGATAATGCCATGGCAAAAAACGAAAAGACAAACAATAGTCTACAAAACACAAAAAATAAATGATAGCATGTTGTAAGGGCCACTTTATATTGTTTGATGTGTTTGAGCTTTTGATTTTGCCATTAGTTAAGGGACTTTTCGTTTTGAATTTTCCTTTCCTTCTCCTTTCATGTAAGCAAAGTTAATTCTAGATCTCTTTCATTGTATATCTATAAAAAGTATGTTTAACCTACGGACCATAATATTTATAATACTATAACAGAAAATGGACATATTTTGCTGAAATACATGTATGTGTAGATGACAAGATTTTTCATATGTAATTCATTGTATTTTACATTTTTAAAATGGTATTTGTATATTGAGAAGTGTAACTTTAAGCAGTGTTAATGATATGCATTTTATTTGATATTTTCAGGAATTCATTCAAATGTACAAGATATTACTGCCTAAAGGATTACTGAGTTCCAAAGATGATGTGAAAGACTTCTTAGAACATATGAAATTTATGGAGGAGAATTATCAAATTGGAATAACTAAGGTATTTTTATACGACCGCAAAAAATTTGCGTTCGTATATTGCTATCATGTCGTCGTCGTCCGAAGACATTTGGTTTCCGGACAATAACTTTAGTATAAGTGAATGGATCTCTATGAAATTAAAGCACAAGGTTCAATAGCACAAAAAGATGGTTGGGTCAGAAAGGGGCCAAAAAAAGGAATTTTTCTAGTTTCCGGACAATAACTTTTGTATAAGTGTATGGATCACTATGAAATTGTACCACAAGGTTCCATACCATAAAGGGAAGGTTGGGATTGACTTTGGGGGTTATGGCCCAAACCGTTCAGGAATTAGGGGGGGTGGGGGTGGGGGGGGGAATGGGAAAAACAAGGTTTTTCAGGTGAATGGACAATTAATTAAGTATTAGTCTATGGATTTCTATGAAATTGAAACTGGCTATGCTGGTTCTAACATAAATTATTTCTGATTTATACAGAGAAACAACAAATACTGATATGGCAGGAGATACACACCAAACAGGGTGTGTAAATTATTATATTTAGTTTGTAAACAGATTTACTAAGTATTGCGCAACAGTAAACTATTGCACAACAGCAAGAAATCTTCAATTGATACTAAATACAAATCTTTTAACCAATTTTAATGAGGATTAATTTAAAGTCTTGAATTGTTTGAGGTTTTTACCATGTATTACCATATTGGATATTTGGACATTTTTAAATAGGTCTACATTGAGATCCAAAGGGTCCAAACTTAGACTTTGTTTGATTTCATCAAAAACTGAATTCTTGTGGTTCTATGATATGCTGAATCTAACTGTGCATTCAGATTTTGAATTTTTGGCCCTGTTTTCAAATTAGTCCACATTAAGGTCCAAATGGTCCAAAATTATCCTTTGTTTGAATTCATGGTTTTTTTTTATATGCTGAATCTGACCATGGAATTAGATTTGGGATATTGGATCATTAAGCAGATTAAATGTCCCATTTCAAATTTTTAAGTTATTTGACCACATTTATTCTGTGTCAGAAATCTATAGGTTGCATTTCTGTAAATATTGACAATGCAATTTCCCATAGGAACTCCTTTTACGGCTAAAACTGTACCACTTTTACTATGAAGTTTTGAACAAAATCTTATCCTAGAATTGAAAGTTCATATGCACTACAATTTTTTTCAAAGGTCAAAATATAGGGCTGTGCGGCATATTTTCAACGTTTATATGCCCTAAACTTTTCAGAGTTTAAACTAACACTAATTTTCTTAACTACCCCTACCTCGAATGAAGGGTTACCACAGATTTCAATGTAAACAATATGCACATGTATATTTACTGGTAACATTCCCAAGTTATGTCTCTATGAGATGGAACACAGAGAGCATAACTGGGAACCAGTATGTAAACAAAATTAATTTTCTATGAATATTCTAAATCTCCCCAAAAGAGGCGTGGTTTGAGAAACAGCTGTATTTACAAAGTGCAACCTATACAAACATTTATTCAAATAGAAAACTCTCTAAAATCAGTTTTTCTCACATTAATACTCATTTATCAGAATTATAGCCTGAAAGAAATCACTGTGTATACTCTAAGTTTTTTTTTACTGAACATTTTATACCCCTCCCCTGTTTCAATTTTTAAAAGAATTTGAAAACAAGACTTTAATTATTGCCAGCTTACCCTATTTGCATATTTTCTGATATAAAATGCCTAGAACCTGTTTAAAACTGTTTTGATAACATATTGAAAGCATATCAGAATACTATAAATGTTATGTTTAGCAGTCAATCATTACAACATTCAAGATTATATAAAATATCCAATCCTGCCTCTGTCTCCAGTCCACATCTTACTGTATGCCTATTTGTCAATTAAAGTTCACATTTTCTACCTCAAATGGTCAATTTAGAATTCTTGTCACAACAGTATCATCTGTAACCATATATCTGACACAATTTACCTAATAAATATACTAGAAGTGTTCAAACAAAGCCATATTTGCAATAGTTGTATGTATGCAGATACCAGTCTGAGATATAAATTCACTTAAAATGTTATAGAGATGACTGCTAACATCTAATTTTTGCATAACTTCCAAGCATAGTTATTGTTTTCTATATCAAGAACTTAAAAATCATAAAATCATAGCATTTACAAGTTAAATTATCTGTTTTATGACCCAGGGGGTAGGCAATTTTCTCTGTTTTTTGCCCCTGGGGCCTCAAATTTCCTAAATTATTCTGCTGTTTCTAGTAATTTGGAATATTTAGTACATATTCAGGATAGAACACACTATTGTAAGTTTTGTTGAGATATATTTGTATTTCTAGCTTGTATTTTTTATGCGGTGGTGACAAAAAAGCAGATTTAGGTGTTATGGCTTACTTTTGGGTTAATGACAGGACACAAACATCCCATAAATAATATTCAGGAAGGATCGATGAGTTTCAATGACTGCGAAGAGTAAATATAAGCACTTCTTAACAATTTAATTTACAAACATGCAAATATTATGAATTAATTTTGTATTCAGGACTTTAAGTAAACTATGCATACTGTAAACTGTGAATTTATGCTGAGTCATCATATCTAAGGCCCAGGATTCTATCAATCTTCATGAAATATTTATAAAACTTCATATTTGAGTTAATTTCTTTAAAATCTGTGAGATAAAGCAAATTTGGTTAAATTCTGAATGTTTTCTTTTTTCACCCTATATAGGTTGCATTTCTGTAAATATTGACAATGCAATTTCCCATAGGAACTCCTTTTACGGCTAAAACTGTACCATTTTTACTATGAAGGTTTGAACAAAATCTTATCCTAGAATTGAAAGTTCATATGCACTACAATTTTTTTCAAAGGTCAAAATATAGGGCTGTGCGGCATATTTTCAACGTTTATATGCCCTAAACTTTTCAGAGTTTAAACTAACACTAATTTTCTATACTACCCCTACCTCGAATGAAGGGTTACCACAGATTTCAATGTAAACAATATGCACATGTATATTTACTGGTAACATTCCCAAGTTATGTCTCTATGAGATGGAACACAGAGAGCATAACTGGGAACCAGTATGTAAACAAAATTAATTTTCTATGAATATTCTAAATCTCCCCAAAAGAGGCGTGGTTTGAGAAACAGCTGTATTTACAAAGTGCAACCTATAATGTGTCAAATATTTAATCACTATCCAAATTCAGAGCTGTATCAAGCTTGAATATTGTGTCCATACTTGCCCCAACTGTTCAGACTTTGACCTCTGCAGTCATATCCAACTGCTCCATGCGAAGCGTATTTTTAATGGCATTTTTTGACATTTAAAACATAGTGTATCAGTAAGTCACAGTTAAAGGGGCATCATTAGCTGTCAAATTCATATTCACCTATTTGAATCAAAATTCTCATATTTTATTTATACCACACTAAAAAGTATATCCAATTCACAAAAGTCCAAAAAGAAACAATTAACAATGCATGCACTCATTATTTATTTGCTTTTTGTGCATATTTTTGACTAGGTGCCATCTAATGAAACCTCGAGATGTCCTCAGAAGACTGCCGATGGTCATATAACTTTATATAAACATAAACATAAAAATAAATAGACCTACAAGCTCGTGCAATCGTATAATGATGATTTGTTTAGATTTGTTTAATTTCATGTCATAGATTAGAAAATATTTAAATCATTTTATAAGAATATAAAAATAAGAAGATGTGGTATGATTGGCAATGAGACAACTCTCCACAAGAGAGCAAATGACTAAGAAATTAACAACTATAGGTCGCCGTACAACCTTCAATAATGAGTAAAACCCATACCACTTAGTCAGCTATAAAAGGCCCTGAAATGATAAATGTAAAACAATTCGAACGAGAAAACTATAAGCAATTGATAAAATTGGTCCATATATTACAATTCACAAATGTTTTAGGTGTTTCTAAGAGAAACAGAAAAACAAAGATTGGATCAAGCCTTACATGTGGCCATCATGGAAAGAGTAATAAGAGTTCAAAGATGGTTTAAAACAATCTTTGAAAGAAGGAACTATGTTAAGATGAGAGCTTGTATTATAGTGATACAGGTTAGTTTTGCAAATATATTTAATTTGAAATTTTTTTTAGAAAACTGCATTGTTATTATAATCCTAGCAACACAGTTAATGAAGGAATAATTTTTTTTTACTCTTTGAAGTCTAAACCATTTATGTATGAGGAATGTATGAAAAATAATCATTTCTTCTGACAAAATATATGATGACCCCTAATATTTTCATATCAATATAATTGAAATGTTTACAGCAATAACAATTTATTTTAATCATAATTCTGTTGACAAATTTTCTAGGAAATGCAATTTTAACAGAAAAATTGCATATTTGTTGCCACTTCTTATGCACATATTATACATTTATCAACCTTTTTCGTAAAATTGACTGTTTCTCGGCAAGTATATTATTTTCTAGATAGTCAGATGGAGTTCAACAAGTTCTTAATGCAAACAAAATTTCATCAAAATCAGAAATATTGGCAAACAACATGTACTTTCCCTAAATAAAAAGTTTTAAAAAAAGTTGAAAGTATTATATATGTTTAACCATTACAGGCTTGTGTAAGAATGTTCCTGGGTAAAAGAAAAAAGCTAAGATTAAAACAGAACATATCAGCCTTGTGTATTCAGCGTTACATGAAAGGATGGCATCACAGATATACATTTCTCAAGACGTTATCAGCCACTCTCATCATACAGTGTTGGTACAGAGGTTATAAAAGTCGCAAGATGTATGTTTACTTTTAGATCAAATGAATACATTGCAAAGGAGTAAGTTTGATAAGGCCCTAAAATATCTACATGAATTTAAAAAAAATTTTATCTTGAAAAATTTAACTTAATAATCAGGGCCATATATGACCCATACCGAACTTACTCCTTTATCTTGGAAAGTTTAATTAGCAGAGGAGGGGGAACTAATGAACCAGCCAATTGTCTTATTTCATAATATTATTTACAAAGTTAATATAATAACAAGTAGGGAAATGTGGGTGTTAGAAGGCAATTTTTGCTCAAAACACTTTCACCCATGCGAATTTAATAAGATCTAATGTAATGGAAAATCAATTTTTTAAAATTTTTATTTTGATCAATGAAATGATTTTAATTAAAGAAAAAAATAAATTTCAGTTTGGCAGCTTTCATTTGTTGATCTTTTTTTTTAATCAAATCTGGATAAAAAGTTGTTTCTCTACCCTAAAAAAACCAAAATCTCAAGAGTATAAACTGCATTTAGTATTTTAACGAAACTTTTGTAAATGCATAATTTTGTATATACAATACAGATATAGGAAGCTGTTACTTGAGAAACAACTTGAAGAAGAGAAAGCCAAGCAAGCACAAATAGATGATTTACGATCCTCTAACAGTGATGAAGGTATTCTGACTAAAGGATCCAGTGGTGAAGAACTAGATGACATTGGCAGATCTCCTAGACGTGATTCATCGTTAGTATTTTGTTTTTGTTTTGTTTCTTGAACAGAAATGAATACATGATAATTCTTATATGATTTGCATATTAGAGAATACGTTAATATGATTGGTCGAGAGGACTTCCGGTAGATGTTCTTGACATTGTTTATTTTTCGATAGACGATGTTGACCGAACTTCTTTTCATAACCAATGAAAACAAGATGGCAGCGATAATAACACAATCCGGTTCGACGTTAACAAAATTTATTTTCACTTGGCGTTAATTGTTAAATTAAATAATAAACAAAAAACATTCGTTTGAATGATGATAACAGTTTTTGTAGTTTATATTTTATCAGATAGCAAATTTCATGGAGTACATATTTTTGTGTTAACAAACAAATATATTCATGCGCCAGGTCTATTCAATGACACTAATATACAATTTACGTGTGATAGAGGTTACGAGTGTGGAAAAATAAATTCTTTATCTCCAATTTTTAAGAATTATAAGGCTTAAACGCCTTTTTAAAGGAATTTATTGGTGTATAAACTGGACCAAGTCATTTGTTTGTGAGTGAATTGGTCCAGTTTATACATCAATAAATTCCTTTAAAAAGGCGTTTAATCCTATAACAGATGAGCAAAGCAGCAGAAAATATGCCTGTAAAAAGAAATTTGAAATAATCTGGTATAAGACTTAGTGATTACTTATGAATATACATTTTCACGTTTTGTAACTTTACAACCCAAACTCTTATGAACAATTTGAAATGTTATCAAGAAAATTCTGCAGTTCATTGAAAAATCTTTTATTTGGCCTAACTTTTCACTGAAATTAAATTTTGATTTAAGATTTACATTTATGTATGTTTTTAAAGTTGAGATAATACAAAACAAAAACAGGTAGTTTACGATCCATGAAGTCGCAATAAAAATAGTTGTGATGGCATGAAAAAGTTCCTTCTACATACATGTATGTTCATGAAAACATAATAGCTTTTGGTCAATTTTCAAAAAGTTATTTTGCCAACAAATATAGGGTATATGCAAGTACCTATAAATAGTTTACCACAATGATGTTCTGTATGAACCACACCACTTATGTTATTATTTTAGCAGTACATTTCTGGCTCACAATAATATTTCAAAATATGAGATTATTGTCATGTTTGTAGAAAATCTTTTGAAAGCAAAATCTCAGGGATAATTCTTAGTATTTGAAAGATCTTAAGAATTGAACTTTGCACTTACCTTTTAATTATCTTAAGGATTAAATCAGCTGATTTTGTAATACTTCGATATTTTACACTAAAAAGTAATCTCTCCTCTTATGGTTTTAAACATTCCACAAACTTCAGAATGTTTTTTTCTTTTACTACGATTCTGTTTTAACTGTAATTATGCAGAGTCATGTTTGTAAGAAAGCATTATTGTTAACCAAATGACTTCTGTAGTTGTTTATGCAGATACATGTTTGTAAGAAATAAATAGAGGCCATGTAAAATAAATGTTCTAGTTCTCAGACAATGACTTTAAAAAAATGAATGAGGGAGACAGGGTATTTTTTGGGGCGTTCAATATTTTTTAAAATCTGGTATGTATTCATGTTAAAGAATAAGATACCTAGGGGTTGATAATAAAAATCACAAAATCATAGTAAATACAACATGGTTGCAATACAAATTTGATTCATAACTGCGGATGTATGTGTATACACTAGAAATATACAAGTTGTAACAGTCTGATAGGTATGTTGTTTTTATAACACCAATGAGGTATGTGACATGAAACTGACATATCAAACCACTACAGTGCTATGCTGAATGTCAGAATAAAATGGTGTCTAATAAAATTATGCGTGCTAAAGATGAAAACTTTTGAAACCCCAAAATGCCTTAACAGAACAGCCAAAACTGTAAATTAGTATGAATGAATTGAGACACTTGGTATATGTAAATGAGACCCCAACCTAACAAGTCACAACACACATTGAAAACAAAAACATACAGCCATCCAGAGAGCTGCATAGGCAATCTGTCAGATAAATTAAAAACATGTTTGAATTGTCTGGATTCTAGAAAAGTTGTGAAAATTAAACAGAGACTAGCTGGAGAGAATTGTAACCTTAGTTTTGTTCAACTAAATAATCTTAATAAGTCTCTCATTAAATCAAAGTCAAACAATAGTTTTTTCTTTGGATTTTTGTCCTTTGGGAAATGCATCTTTTTGTCTGTTTTATATTTTGAAATAAACAGATAGAGCATCTACATCTATCTTCATGCTTTGTTCATAAAGCCTTTTTTGACAACATGTTCCTTAACAAATATCAAAACACATCAATTTCTAATGATTTCAATATGGTTATTTCCACCCAAAAGTTCAGAGATATTGCTTTGTCTATATATAATCAAAGATTGTGTATAAGTCTGAGGTTTTAGGCTGCACCAACAAAGCTCATGTATCAAGTGTATCTTAAAGGTCACGCAAGCAATCTCTTTGAGTAATTATATTGCACTTATTTTTTTACAGTTGTTTCATCTGTAATTTTAATGTTCACCAAAATATAGACCCATTTTCAGTTCTGTTTACATATTGGCATTTTGCAACTGTACGAGTTTAAAAGAAGTCTAAACTTCTACAGAGGTAAAAACCTGGGTTTTCAGAATGCATTGGAGTTATCACTCTTGACTCGTTTGAAAGCGATAAAATTTGAATAACACAAGTTTTTGCACATTCTATTTATTTGGTTTGGCGATAAATACAAGCCAAAGCAGGTTATTGGCTGGTGCGGCAGTGTCTAAGACCCAGAAAGTTAATTATTCATGGCCTGATGTAAATCAAATGACTACTCCAGCTGCATTTTGTATGCAGATACATGTTTGTTAGTAAAATAATTTCTGTTGCAGGAGTAGTGGTGTTCATGATGAAGACTCAGAATCTGAGACTGTTTCCCTAGAATCAAAAAGTCGAGATGGCTCGATAGTAACCCCACCTCCAACACCCACTGATGTTAAAATTATAGTGCAACCCACCATTAAAATAGAAGCAGATGAATACCTTAGACAAGACAAAAGATCATCAAGGTAAGCTGATCAAAAGTTTATTTTTACAAAAGTTGCCTCCCTTGTCTTGGTTTCTGTTTAGGTGGTTTAAAATGGGGAATTCAAATATATTTAAAAATGTTGGCCATTGAAAGTTTTTTAAACAATATTGAAAATAAAATTTCAAAATGAATATGTCAGAAGATGGTTAGGCTGAAGCTAGAGAAATATCTATCAAATGCCAAAAAATCATATAAATAGAAGGAAACTTTATCAGGTATAAAATATTTACATATAGTTTATATTTTTAATATGAAATTCTACGCAACTTCCTGTGTCAAAATTTACCATATATGGTTGGTATTATTGATATCATACTTTTATAGGAATACATTTCAATGGTATTCTGTAAATATGTTGATTATTTAAAAAAAAAAAAAAAGATTCAGATACAATAAGTTTGTGTCTAAATTAAAAAAAAAAAAAGTCAAATCAACAGTTTTGATATATTCCTTTATTCTTTCAATCAATATTGCTTTCAAATATTTGGCTTTGATAGTTCCTAATGAAGGTAAATCCAGAAAAGTGCTTCAGATGCATGCATTTCACTTTATTTGTTGTTGATATGGTAATCATTTCTGTCCTCATGAAAACCATTTATAGTAAGATAATGTATAAAGTAATTTTCACAATTCCAGGTTAATATTTAATGTATTTCCTTATTTTATTAAATTTTACAGAGTTCAAGATTTGGCCAGATTACATGAAGCAAAAGCAGTAAGTAATCTATTTTTCTACTTTTTCTCAAATTCTTTGAAATTAATGGAATTGTTTGTAAAAAACTTTCCTAAGGGAACATCCCAGTTACTATAATGTTGTAATATGATAAAATCCAACTTCTAAATTTTTCAGCCTCTGCATTGTTGTTAGGCAATGTATAAAAATCTTGTTATGTTTGAATGTATACATTATATAATAAAAGGTCATGCACAGATAATTGTAAAAGATAAATGTATGGAGAAAGCCTTCTGCTTGAACATTCAGAAATTGGATTTTATAATGAAAATAACACATTATATTTAAGGTTCTTAAAACTGAAAAAAATCTAATTGATATATTCTCTACTTGTGTAAATAATCTTGCATGTTTTCAAACCAACACCGCATGACATGTGGAATCTAAACATGCATGATATTTTTAACCTTACAGATCTTGAACATGAACCCACAAAATTTCTACATTTGTAACCCTTCCTCTCCCTCTTTTGCATATTGAAATTTTTATTTTTAGTAGAAAAAGGATTTTCTTTTGTTTGGTGAATTTAAGTATAACAGAACTCATTGATAAGGTTTTCACAAGGAAAACACAAATAACATAATGAATAAACAATATTATTTTTATGAGTTGTCTCCCATTTTAAGACTTGTTTTTTCAGTGTTTTTATCCACAAACTTTTTATTTTATGAATGATTTTGAAAATTTCTTTAAAATATGTAGAAAAAGAATATGATGGATATGAATCTTTCATTTGTCAGCAAAGTACCTGCTTGCTGCTGGTATTTTGACAATGTTCAGAAGGTACATTTTGGTTCCCTTTTCGCCCTGCAAAAATTGAACAATTGTTGAGGGAGGACTATTGAGAACTACTTCATACGTAAAAACAAATAAAAAGATTACAAGCTGGATTTTCTTTTCTTCTGAATACTAGCGAGAATTGGCTTTTCTAAGTACTTTATAAGTAAGATATGACTTGCTAAAAAAAAAACACTATTTCTATCTGTTGAATGGAATATTCTGATTCAAGGATGCCTTGAAAGAGAATTCTGACACAGTATCTCTTGAAAGAGGTCCAATGAAGAAAAAGCCGAAAGTTATTCCTGCACCTCTGGCTAAGCAGGAGTCGTTCTCTGATTTGGTAAGAAGAAGCTTTGTTTGGGTGTTATATCAGATTTTGCTTGAACCACAACACTTCAAAAACTAGATTCTATTCCATATATCTTTATGTTTGAATATGACACTAAACCTCTATTTGTCAATCAGTCGTTTGTAAGATACTGTAGTGTTTTTCTTTTGATAGACATCTTGAGCAATAAATATTGATATTAATCTGGCTTCACTTGCCATCAATATTTTATTTGCTCCCTCAAAATTTTTCAACTGCAAGGGCTTTCTTAAATATAAACATATGGTCAGTTTGGTTTCTCCAGTCAGGCTGTTAGACCCATGCTGATCTGGCTTCTATTTAGCTGTGCCTGCTATTTAATATGCAGCCATATCTTATTTGAAATGACTTCAGATTAGAGGTGGTTTGATTTTGTGTTATGAGAGTGTCTTGTTCTTTCCTCCCTATCATATAATTAATATTGAAAAAATGAATGACAAAATCCTAATGCAAAAAATTGAGAGCAAACAGTTCTGAAGTTATTGTTGAGGAAATAAACATGGGTTCAAAATTATGTAGGTCAGAGGTCTATAACCTTTTATTTTCACAACTTCAATTTTGAAAATTACAATGCCCTGAACCTTTAAACTTTGAATATTTTTTTTTATAGCAGCCCACTGACTTTGTAAAAGTGGCTGATAAGTTTGTAAATCTCCAAAGTCCAGAACCTTTCATCTCAAAAATCTATGTTGAACCCCTGAAGGAATTAGACAATATGTATACCTTCCAACATGAATCTTCTGATGAGAATCTAGAATTTGAATTGTTGTGGTCCAGTAGTTTGCAGAGTGTGCTTCATCTCTGTTGTAATAGTCAGTTTCTTGTCTGTTGTGTACTCTTTCACTTTGCACTCTACACTATGTTTCATACACCTGTCGCCGCTATATAGATCTATATAGATACTACACTCTTATCTATGAACTAGCACTTTGTATTAGGACTCTTACAGAGAACATATATAAGATTGTATATAGATTTCTCTAGTGTAAATTTTGATGTCAAGCAAGATAGAATAAAACATAGTATATAGCTGATGTGTTTTGAAAGTCTTGTCATGTTGATAAGTAAAAAATAATGTTATAAGAAATGTAGATTAAAAGAAAAAAATGTAGATTAACTATGACTTTTCAATGTACTGTGAATTGATTTATTTTCCTGGTACCAATTTTTTTTGTGGATTGAGAAAAAACTATTTATTCAAGGATAAATGATTTTTGTGATTTTGCATACAATCCTACTTTAGACAATTTGTTCATGGTTGGACATTTAAATTTGTGGTTCACTTAAATCAACAAAATCCAAGAAAATAGTGTTCCATGAATAAAAATGAATCCACAGTATGTAACATGGTGTGGGGTAGGTTATATAACATATAGTATAGGGGTACAGGTATTTTTCATAATTCCATGAGTTGTTTTCAACATACTTATTTATAATTTTTAAGTCACATAGGATCATTTTCGTCGAGCCTGCGACTTTTGTCGCAAAAGCGAGACATAGCGATTCTACATTCCGTCAGCGGCGGCATCCACAAATATTCACTCTGTGGTTAAAGTCTTTGAAATTTTAATAACTTTCTTAAACTATCCTGGATTTTTACCAAATTTGGACAGAAGCTTGTTTATGATCATAAGATAGTATCCAAAAGTAAATTTTGTATAAAAAAAATCCAGTTTATCCGTATTTTACTTAAAATGGACTTAGTTTTTCTGCCAGTTAACATTACATTCACTCTGTGGTTAAAGTTTTTAAAATTTTAATAACTTTCTTAAACTATCCTGGATTTTTACCAAATTTGGACAGAAGCTTGTTTATGATCATAAGATAGTATCCAGAAGTAAATTTTGCAAAAAAAAAAAATCCTGTTTATCTGTATTTTACTTGTAAACATGATAAATGGACTTAGTTTTTCTGCCAGTTAACATTACATTCACTCTGTGGTTAAAGTTTTAAAATTTTTAATTACTTTCTTAAACTATCCTGGATTTGTACCAAACTTGGACAGAAGCTTGTTTATGATCAAAAGCTAGTATCTAGAAGGAAATTTTGTAAAAATTTATTTCCTGTTTTTCCGTATATTACTAATAAATGGACTAGTTTTTCTTCCAGTTAACATTACAAAGTCTGCAGTTAAAATTTTTAAAACATTTATTAGATTCATAAATCATTCCAGATTTTTACCAAACTTGGACAGAAGCTTCTTACAATCAAAAGATAGTATCTAGAGGAAAATTTTTAATAATTTTTTCCCCATTTTTGTTGAGTCTGTGACTTTTGTCGCAAAAACGAGACATAGCGATCCTACATTCTGTCGTCGTCTGAATTAAGGAATAAATCATCAAGCCATGTAAAAATTGTCTTCTTTATCATTCGTTCATTCAATAAATTTATGTTTCAACTCTTTTATAAATCTATAGATTTGATTGCATACTGTATTCAATTTTTACAAGCATAACTTTTTTCATACATTTTAAACGTTTTATTTCATTAACTGTAAGTCTATTATGAGCATTCCCCTATCACACTGAAAACATAGACAACAGCAAAAGAAGGCGAGACACTGGGTTCCGCGGAACCCTTACGAATTTTTATGCACAGATATTAGATATTGTTACAGATCAGTAATTGATAATTTAAAAGACAGTCAATTCATTAGTACATTTTAAAATTAAAAAAAATGTAAAAAAAGCTGCATCACCTACTTTAAGGTGGAATAACTTAAATGGAATTTGAATAAAAATGATAGTAAGGGCTATTTAATAAAATTGGATGTGGGAAGGTAGGAAAGTGATTACAGCACCCCCACACCCATCATACTTTCTAGGAGTAGTTTTGCATGCATCAAGTTTATAAGCAACCAAAAATGACCGATCACTCATGTCCAAAATTAAGAATTTCTTTCTTACCTTCCTGCATCTATTTTAATGGAATAGTCCTATGTTATCTTGTAATAGGTGAGAGGATAACTCGTAGAACATTACTAATACTATAGTGTTATTAAATGTGTGTTTTCATATTGATCCTGTATTATGTCCAAGTACAGTTGTATTGGGTCAGGGCTCAGCCGAGGGTTAATACAGCTAATCGAGACCCAATATGACTGTATGAGGACATGATACAATATCAATATGAAACACCTTTTTTATGACACCTTTATTAACCCAATGATTTAAAATAATTACCGAAATTTGAAATCTGAAATACGACTAAAAGAAGACTTATAAGGATCAATATGAACTCATTTTCATTTAAATGCTAGGATTGGCGGATAATTCTAAAATTTAATAATGTAAGACAAATTATAGTTTTATTCAAATTGGAATAACCCTTTGAGCCTCTTGATTTATGCACAAATTATCCCTCATTAAAATGACGTCACAGGGGTATGTAAACAAAATGTCAATTGCAAGAAGTCTGTAGAGTGATGAAGAAACAAGCATCTAATGCAGAGGATAGCTTTCACAAACGACCTTTATTCGGAAACCTTCTTGAACCAATAACCAGAAGTTAAAATGTTGTAGTAAACATATTTTCTGTATTAGACCTAATGACCAGTTTTCAGACACATGGAATTGTAATAAATAAACAATTAATAATATATTTTAAGTCATTGGTTAATAAAATGAAAGAATGTGTGACTTGTTATTTGATATAAATGTGAAATATAGGTAATAGTTTGGTGAAAGAGTAAAAAATATATAGAAATAATGCTGTAAAGAGATTCAGACCTATGTTAATCCATTTTGTAAATTGATGTTTTTTCAGCCTGGCATAGATTTTCATTTATTCAGAGAATGTAAACTTTTCTAAAGAGCTTTTTCAAATAATAAGTAGACCAAAGGAACTTTATTACTTTACATATTTTCTAATGTGTACAGCTTGTTCATTATAACTTCTGATATTTTAAAATAAAATCTTTATTCGCCAAACAAAAAAAAGTTAGTTTTGAATATTTCTCAAGTAAAAAAAAAAGTTTGAATCGTACAATTCAGTATTAACTTCTGAATTTAACACTGATGAAAAATGTTTCTTTCTAGGAACCAACATCACCCTCGGATCAGTATGTTACTTCAGAAAAGAAGCGAATGGTTGAAGAGGCTCTAAAGAAGCCCCCACATCTGAAAGACCAGTTGGATGCTGAATCTCCATCATCAACATTTTCATACACAAGTCCATTAAGGAAGGCCAAAATATTTAAACACAATAGATTAAAGAACCTTTTGGGAGGTGAGTTTTTAGTTTTATTTTCAGAATCCCAACAGATTTCAGAATTTTATTTAACATTTTAATACCATAGCTGAGATTTGTTATTTTTACATAGAAAGGATAACAGAAAATACCCTCCGAAAAAAAAAGATCTACCAACAAAAACAAACAAAAACTAACAACACATAGTCCAGATACCTGACTTGGGATAGGCAGAGAAGTGGCGGTCATGTCTTTTGGTGTTTTTTTTTTTTTTTTTTTTTTTCTGTATCATTGAGTTATTATCTCAGTGATCTTTACCCCATATATCTTTTTAATAGTAGATACATAGTATCAAGAAAGTTTATAAATATGTTTAGTCTGTAGTTTCCATGGAAATGATAACTAGCTGGCAACAATGAAAATTCTTATCCAGTTTATTTACAAAAATATTGGATGCCTAGGTCTTTTTATTTTTATATACAATGACCAACAGGATGACAGTATTTTATCAGATTGTGAGTTTATATTTTTTACTGGAATAACCTGTGAAATTCTAATGACATGAATGTAATCTGAACTGACAAAAGTTAAATTATTTTCTAAGTACAGTAAGGTTTCTTGCACAGAAAAGTGCATTAAGAAGGAATCAGATCTAAATAAGGGATTATGTACTGTCTGCAAAAACCTCATTTTTTTCGTTTCATTTTTTTCATGCTTTTGTTTGCAGTCATATATGAACTCTATATACACATTATTATATTCGTAACTATATATTTTTAATAAAAGCCTTGTTAAGTGAAAAATATTTAACAGTAAATTTTTTATTAAAATGACAAGTTTGTTTATAGATATAAAAGAGTCTACTCAAACTTGTCGCAGATCGTCTTTTCGATTTCTTCATCGGGACAAGAGTGAGTAAATGGCCAGTCACTAAACATATAGCATGTCACATGACAGAATAATGGCTGATCGGTTGATATATTTGTAATAGACCATATATGGGGTTTGTGAAAACGTAGGCATGCAAAAAGGATGTAGAATGAAAAAAAGGTCTTTAGCTATTTAAAGGAATGGAATTATTACAAATCTCACAAACTCTATTAAGACTGATGAACTTTCGCATATATTTGTGTTTTTATAGAATTTAAAAGCATGACTGACACATTAGAAATGACAACCACAATTTCTTCATTTATGAACTGGCTTTTGCTATCCCTTTCATTTTTCTCTAGAGCGTGAATGCTGTGTGAGAAGCTTCAGAATTTTTGACATAGAAAAAAAATGCTTTGCTAGTGTTTTCTCTCCTTTGTCTTCTCTATTGAAGCATGTTGTACAACGACTCATCCCTCAAATCCTCAAACTTTTAAGCTTATCCCTCTATAGAATAAACATGAAAAAACTCAACTCCAGCAAGAGTGATTTTATCTGAAACTTTTTGTGTGTACTGTAATACCTAAATGTTGATTGTATTAAAATTCTCTCTCTGTGAAAATATCAAAATATGAAGTGGTTTATTTATCCATCAACTGTATTCACATAGCAAACAAAGGGGTAACTCTTTTCCATTGGCTGAATTTCACTTAAGAATTGAATGCTTCTTTTTGTAAATTCATTGGGGTGTAAAAGCGTTGACCGAAGTACATTTCGTATTTCCGCGCTTCGTTCTAAAAATGTACGCATGGTCAACGCTTTTACAACCCTATGAAATTACTAAAAGAACCATTCAATACTTATAATTACATTTTTTCGCTATGATCATGAAAACACGATTACTGTCAAGTTTTTCTTTTATTTACCTGTGCACTTTATTGTTGAAACGTGTGTCATCATGTATGTTACAACTCATGAAATTTATTTTGAAATGAAGAATGAAGTGAGATTCCTGTTAGCCAATCAAAATAACGTATAATAATGAAACATACATCTAATGTAATTATTTGTTTATGAGGTGATCAGCCAATCACTGTATTTGGATTATCACCCAGATTTCATGGATATACAATACTATGAGAAGCCAATCAAAACATTGTCGAGAATTAATCAGAATTCACTAACCACTGACGCCTCAGTGATAGTCATTGAAAAATCAACCAGTCAGTTATTATTTATGAATACTGAAGCAATAAATTAGAAAGTGATGCCAAAGGTAATAAATCAATCAGTATTTTCTTTAAAAAATAACATATATAAAAACACAAATAATCATGAAAATTCGTTCCTTTTATTTCAGCATTTTTATCAACTTTTTGGGGTAACAGAATTTTATTGAAATTTTTACCTGCAAGTACTTTAATGTAACACATATATACTTTGGAATCCCTGTCAGCTTTTACTAGTAATCAAATCTTGTCTTCATGGCTGCCTTATGCATTGAAAATTATAAATCCAATCTTATTTGCTTATGCTCTGTGGATAGTCCTTGTCTTGAATTAAGCTGTGACTTCTTTGTTAAAAATAGAGAGCATTGAGATACATAATTTGTGGGTAAGATATTTTGTAAATTATATATGATAATTTAACAGTGCATAGTTATCTTCTATTGGAATATTAGTTTTATGTAAAATAGATGAATATAAAAGACTGAACTGTTTTGGATGAAATGTAATCTAGCCTTTACCATCACTTCACTTTCTTTGTCATTGCCTTTTTGACAACTTTTAAAGCAGCCTCTACTTACATTAAATGATCCATATGATTAAATGTCCAGTAAGAAGTGTATTCACCAACTGTTGAATTTTTCAGTATATTTTTTACTGTACTTGGTCCTCAAACAAGAAGTATTATTTGAATGACCACTTCTAAAAAACACTTGAAGTAGATATATTACTTCCTCTTTCTGGTCTAATCATTTCCTTGCCTTATGTGTGTCAGTACAAACAAATTTAGACCTTTACCACCAAAACGCCCATATTTCAAGGTCTGAATTTTCATTCCTTCAGCCATTAAATTTTACTGAATGCCAATAATAGAAAAATTGCATAGACTGGGAGAAGTATGTTTTGTAAAATAATAATAGCCTAACTCCCTTTTGAAACTATGGAACACTATAGGAGACCAAAAAATGAAAATGGCTACTAACCCATCTAAGTTGACACCCGCATTGTAAGGGTTAATATACAAAAGGGCAAATTGTAAAGATTAGTAATAGACCTCTTTTGGCTTATCTTATTTTGATTTACAAAATGCATCTATTCATGCATCTTTTCTGTGATAAAAGACTTATTCAATAAATAACACATAGCTGAGAGGGTAATAGAGAAAATTGTTACCCCAAGAAAACATCAACTGAGGCAAAGCCAAGATTGACATTGCTTTTTTCCGTATTTTTTTTATGTTGACAGTCTTTGAAAAAGGCCTGTAGCCAAAACTTAGAACTTGAGCATTAATTAATTCCATTATACTTCAAGATTTTAGCAAAAAATACCATCTGTATTTGATAAAGCGCACAAATGATCAATTGCTCTGTGAAGGGTAATAATATATAAGCCATGACATAGAGTAGAATGTCTTTCTCGTATTAACCAATCAAAATCTGGTGTGAAGTATAATAAACTAAATTGATGTATGGACATTAATCCATACAACTTTAGACTAAACAATATTTATTCAGATAAATAATGACATAACAATATAATACACTTGAAATTAATATCTAGGATTCAGAAACAAGCACAGTTGCTTTTACAAATCTGTCTCCTTGCAACTTTAAAATTTTGTATAGGGTTAAGTTGTTGACCTCCCCCCATTTGAAATTTTGTGAATGTAGTTGTACTTTTCTTAAATTTGGAAGTTTTATACTCTTCATGAAGTGTGAAGAAATTAATCATATTTTCATTTTGTGAAGAAACCCGAACTATTTAATAAATTCTCATTTTGCAGGTAAAAAACCAAATCGTGAAGACAGTGATGAAGACCAAAGTCCAACTAACACTGATCGTAGACCACCATGTAAGTAGATTTTGTTTAACTCCAACCAATCATAATATAAAATTTTCATTTTAAATTTTTTTACAAAATTCTTAAGAAAATGCAACAACCTACAATTTATTAGTTTGATTGCCACCTATCTCCCTTAAAATTCTCTTAAACTGACAAGATTCTGAATTGGATTTATCACAAGGAAAGTCTTGTCATTAAATTTTTCAGGGTAAAAAAATATTGCATACAATAGAAATAATATTTATTTACATGTATTGATGTGTCCTTTAGGGCAGGCACCCAGTTTATGTAATAGGTCATCGACATCAATATCCATCTAATTATTTAAGAAAAATCTGAGGTGGCATTTTCATATAATTACTGAAAAAGGAAATGGCTTTCAGAGTTTTTTTTTATTAAATCAAGGGTTATCTATGAATGTTTTTTTTACATACATACAAAGGTGAATTTAGAATGATAAAAAAAGGCAACCATTTTGTTTATTTTGTATCCTTATTTCATAAATTAGCTGTATTAAAGTAATTCATAATAATCCAATAATAGAGTCATAGTCATTCAACAGAAATATGTTTATTTGTTTAAAATAATAGGTAAATATACATACTTATGGAATCATAACACTAGTATGACATTTGGCTTTTATAAAGGATATAATAATTTAGGTAAGAAACAGTATTTTGTGGTTTAATGTTAAACGTTTTTTTCTAAGACTGGAATCTTATACAGATTATATATGAATTTCATCAGCAAGAACAAAATTGCAAATCAAAGTATAACTTTTCCCTAAATTTTTAACATCTATTCAAATTTAATTCAGTAAACGATAAGCTTTGATCTGTCTGTTATGTATACAAAGGGTTGAAGAGTATTTGTGCATTATAGGAACCAGATTTTCTCTGTATAACTAGTAAACATGAATTTTTCCTAGAAGCAAATTATATTTGGTAAAATGATTGTTCCAGACATAGTTAAGGATGGTGATATGAATTTAGGATTAGCCTCTATGAGATAACAAAAGTAAACACAAATAGACATGATAAACTGGCTTTGAACTAGTTTTCAGTTAATGCCAGTACTCTCAGATCTGTAATTTATGTTTTTGTTATTTGTTGTGCTCCATGCTGATCTGATGAGTCAAGACCTTTCCAACTGGATTTTACAGTTTGTTCTTATGCTTTGCTGGTACACCACTGTCTCAGGTTTACTTATTGAATTTGCTGGTTGGTTTTTTCTATAGACTCAATTCTGTTTGAAAGCTTAATTTTATTAATATTTTGTGCACATGGGACAAATGATATTTTATATGAAATTAAAACTATGATTTGACCTTTCAGTTGGACTTATTGGAGGCATACCTGTTCTTCCAGGGCTTAGACCAGATCAGCTGTCCCCAACATCTCCCAAATCACCAACAGATGCCAAATATTTTCCTGGTGTAAAGAACTTATCACAAGAAGATATTCATGACAAAAAGAAGACACCAAAACGAGGAAGTAGTCGACGAGAGAAAGACCAAAACGATACACCTAAGCGAGGTGAATCACCTGCGCGGGATGTGAAATTTGGAGAAAAAACAGAATGGCAGTATCCTAGTGATCTTGTAATTACAGATTACAGAGAGTTAGCTGCCTTGGATGATTTTATTCTGAAAAAGGTGAATATTTTTTGTACTTTTTCAAATTTCAAAAGTGGTACTTTAGAGTAATGTTGCTGCAATGCAGTTTTTTTTTAGTTTTTCTCTATTTTTCACTCCTTATGACTGCTCATTTAGAAGCCCATAATTTTTAGCATGTTTTATTTCAATGTTAAGTTTTCAATTTTTCAACAACTAAGCAGCCCCCTCAAAAAATATAAACATAAAGTCAGTTAAAACATAATTCCTAAGGGTCAAGATTTGGTTTCATAATCAAAGATAATACTATTTTTTGCAAGTTATAAAGCTAGAGCAAGTCTATTTTTCTGATGAAATTTATTTACCCTGCTCTCTTCCTTATTAGTACTTCTGTATGTCTGTTTATAAATACTTTGAACTGCATGATGGATTTCAATGAAACTTGATGTAACATCCTATCAATTATATTCATTGATCAAAATAATTTTAATATAAGTATATTTTGAATGGAAAGTATTCAATTTAACACCTTTTCATATATACATTTGTAACACTTGGGAATATTGCATGCTGACTTTTGAATATAGAATACAGATAATTTTACACTTCTATACCATATTATTGATAATTTACTTAGATGTTATTGTCATCAATATAGTTTCTATTAATATATGAAGTGAATTCAGATTTCTGCAAGTTATCATCTGACTTTCCTTAACTTTTTGCAACAAAACTTTTTGTCTTTCTTAAATATATAAACCCTAAAAGTCTGTTTTCATTTTTTTCACAGCTGATTGACTATAGCAAAGAATTAAGTAAAAACAAGCAGAGTGAATCTGTATTTGATGATGTTTTCATGAGGTCAATGTCAGAATTTCATCTAGAAATGCAGGCCACTTTGTCAGTTGAAAAACAGGTAACAACAATTTTAATATGCTGAAGACTTATTTATGGAAATCTGGTGTAATGTATTTATGATATCATTAATCAAATGCTTTGATAATTGTTGCCACAGTTTTGAACTAGTAAAATTAGAATGTTTCAATTTCACTTGGTTGATTCAAATGTTTATATTTTACTTGAATTCTCTCCTTTATGGCCAAGTTATATCTGCATTTGTGGTTTCAAATGGATTGTCAATGGGTTTCTCAGTCCAGTAGAGTGAGAACACAATGAAGTCATATGACAACATCATTGAAGTTGCCTAGGAAAATAGCTATAAATAGATTACTGTGGATTCATTATTGTTCGTGTACCAATTTTCATTGAATTTGTAAGAATATGTGACCAATGATTTTAAATACTTTACAAAGAATAAAGCCAACCCAAGAAATCAAATATCCTTTAAAATACAATTTCCCCCCAATACATGAAAATTGGTACAAACAGAAATGAAAAAAACCACAGTATATTTGGTCTTTCAACTCCAGAAAGTTTCTCGGCTACAATCTCATTAAAATGCTATATCTTCCTCTCATTTTCAAAACCATAAAATATCTATAATTTAGAATAATTCATTGCAGAAAGGGAATATAGACATTCCATATAGAGATCTTCTACAGAAATTTGCTCAGATGCTGGAGGCTACATTAAAGAACAGGCACACTAAAGGCACTTTCCCAATTACAATGGGAGTTAATGCATTCCGTGGTTTTCTTGACGAGTTTATCAAACATAAACGGAAAGAAAGGAAAGATGACCAAGTACCCAAAAAGATTCGGAGAAGAGATAGGGCCAAAAAAGATATTTATGTGAGTAAATTTGTGTAGGCTTTCATAAGGAGCAGTAACCACATTTATGATCCTTTAAAATAAGGTTTGGCACTTGCAGAATAAGTAGAAAGCTTATATTGAAAGCAGTCTAAAATTGTAACGCAGTTGACAATGTTTTTATAAGTTATCATTTCTGATGACTTATGAATTCATCAAACTTTGGTATTGACCAATACAATACTATTTTCTCAGCAATTACTGGTCGTAGCTTTGTGATATATATAAGGCACTAAGCTTCATCTGGTCATGCCATTCCATGTGACATTTAAATAGTTTCTTTGATGTTCATCTTCCTATTTGCAGACAACTTTCATCTTGAACATTTCATGCTCATTTATGAAATTTCGTCAAATTTAGTCAACATCATTGAGCGGGGTGTTATAACTGAGTGTTGAACAAGTTAGACTTATTTTTATTTTTAAAATATTTTCAGGAGGTGATGGGACACAAGTTTATGTTAGTACAGTTTGGTATTCCAACATTTTGTGAATATTGTTCCAACCTTCTGTGGATCATGGAAAAGGGTAGTGTTTGTCAAGGTATGGATACATCATAACAAGAATATAATCAAAATATTACAATGTGTTAATTTATTTTATGTTGGCTATGGAAAATTTATTCATTGTTTTGTTGTCCCAACTGTTACAAATATCTATTGATATGAAGGAAACGTTTAAATTTCATGGCATAGACGTGGAGGAACCGTTAAAATTTCATGGCATTGACATGGAGGAACCGTTGAAATTTCATGGCATAGACATGGAGGAACCGTTGAAATTTCATGGCATAGACATGGAAGAACCATTGAAATTTCATGGCATAGACATCACAAATAACAAACGGCTTAAATAAGGAAATAGTTCACTAAAATGACCAGCATTCTTTTATGCAATACTTGTTATTACTGTTTTGTTTATACTTTAATAATGTTTTGTTGTCTTTTAATATATTATAGTATTATTGTTATCATTTCATGAAAATTTACCCCCAAAAGGAATTTGTGCAGATATATTAATTGGTTTCAGAGTGCTCCGCAAGTTCTTCTGTTTATGAATTTATTATTATAATTTAGATTATTGATTTATTTATTTATAGTGTGTAAATACACCTGTCACAAGAAATGTGTAAATAAGACAACAACTAAATGTAAAGGTGTTCAAGACAATCAGGTAAGGACTTTGTCAAATGCATGTGTCAATTCTTGGCAAGTGAGAGTGGGCGATATAAAAAAGGTTTAATTATAAAGGGTAATGAAACAAATGTATTTTTAGACACCATAAATTGTTATAGTTCAAAATAAAGTAAAGAATATTTCAGTTCAAAAAATGTGTCATTTAAAGGTAAAGTAAAAAATGTGTCAGTTCAAAGCAAAGTAAAAAAAAATGTGTCAATTCTAGGCAAAGTACAAAATATGTTATTTCAAGGCAAAGAGAAAAATATTTTGGGTGAATTTTATTTTAGAAATAATGTAATGAAGAAAATAACCAAAAAATTGCTATGACTTGTTAAAATTTTAGAATTCCCCCGTCCAAATATGAGGAATTTACATCATACTGAGTTGAAAGAAAAAAAGAATAAAAAAAAAATTATAGGTTAAACTGTACTATACATTTCAGATTCATGGCTCCTCGAGGCCATTTATTCTTCCTCCAATAATGGGTCCGAGAGGAAGGTCTCTCTTCAGACACCATCATAAGGTTTCAAATTTTAATGGAACACCATTAGATATCAATAGAAATTTGCTGACTATCCCACGAAAAAATGGAAACTTCTCAGTTTGCATAAATTGTTGGAGTTTAAAAAAAAAACTGATGTTTCAATGTCAGAAATTTAAACAATCGAAAATTCAGTCCATCAATGTGTCCCCTCAGGAATGTAAATGATCTACAAGATGTTATAAGTTAATGTCCCCTGCACAACATGGTACATGAATACAAATACCTTGTGTCTGTCATCTATTTGTCCTTCTTGTCTAGGTAAGGACTCTCATGTATACAATTCTTGCTAGATTTTTATAAAATTTATATCACTGGTTCATGTCAGCAAGGTCAGAGACAAGTTAGAAAATCAGTGCCAAATAACCATTTTTAAAGGGGCATTTCCCCATGGAAGTATGAATTATATGGAAAATTGCTTTGTAAGCACCCTCAAGCCTACATTTCTTGTAGGACTATTATGAAATTTATAGCGAAGGTTTATATCAGCAATGTCTGGAAAAATTTAGAAAATCTGTGCTGATGAATTATTTTTACAGGAGTTATGTCCCCTGGAAATGTAAATTTTATAGATAATTGCATTGTAGGTGCTCTTAAAACCACAATTCTTGCCAGATATTTATGAAATTTGTATCATAGGTTTATCAGTGTCCGATGATGCAGCTTGCAAACCAACATGGAATATGGCAGACATTGCTAAAAATAGAGCATAGGGTAAAAATGTTCAGAATGTTATGATCTTCATCCTGCCTATACACTTAAAGACTGTCAGATGACTTCTTTTAGGAGTTATTGTCCTTAAATGACAAATATTACTATATTTTGTTCATTTTTGTCTTTTATCTTGAAAACTAGAACAGATAGAAACTTTAAAAAGCTAAGATAATCAGCAAGACTTCATCTACAAATAAGCAAACATGGCTGAAATTGTCAGACGACTCCTTAAAGGAGTTATTGGTATTGATATTGACAATGGAAGATAAAAATGAACCCAATAATACAGCCTGCACAAGAATTTCTTAATATTACTAGTTGAGGAATATAAACTATACAAAACAGAAAGTGTATCTTTTAAATACTTTTTATTATGCTTGCCTAAGTCTAATTATTATCCTGTTCTCAAACTTTTGAAGTCTATCTTGATGAATGTATGAGTAAAGGGAGGTAATTCATTCGCTTCTGAATATGTAAAGCAAAACGTGAGAATTAGTCAGCAGATTTCTGTTGTAAAGCTTGCTGTAAAACTAACATTGTTTCTTTAACTGTTTATTCTAACCAGTACATTTGGAAGTGTAGATGTTGCTTTAACGTAGCATCTGCTCGCTCATCTTGGGAATTATTAGTGAGTTTGATTGTTGTCCATATTAAAAACAAGTTTTACTTACACCTGCATTTTTTTGTTTATACGATGTTTTTTTTATAAAATATTTAAGTTTTCATATTTAATGTTGTTTTTGATAGGGAGAGGAACTAAATGTATATGTTAGTTGAATCATTTTACACTTTTAAACAGAGAGAAAGTGGCAGTTGTCAGTTTTTTGTCACATCTGCAATGAATTGTTGCAGAATTTGAGACATAGATATGCTAATCCATCAAAGTCATAAATCATTTATATTAAGCTTCATATAATAGAAAGATTCAATAAATTTTATACAGGTTTTTTATAGTTTGAAGTTTTTTTTTGTCACATGATTTTTATTATACGACCGCAAAAATTAAAAAAATTTTGGTCGTATATTGGTATCATGTCGTCGTCAGCGTCGTCCGAAGACAGATGGTTTCCGGATAATAACTTTAGTATAAGTAAATAGAAATCAATAAAATTTTAACACAAGGTTTATAACCACTAAAGGAAGGTTAGGATTGATTTTGGGGGTTATGGTCCCAACTGTTTAGGAATTAGGGGCCCAAAAATGCATTTTTGTAGTTTCCAGACAATAACTTGTGTTAAAGTGTATGAATCTCTCTGAAATTATACCACAAGTTTCCATACTACAAAGGGATGGTTAGAATTGACTTTGGGGGGTTATGGCTCAAACCATTTAGGAATTAGGGGCAAAAAAAGGGGGAAAACAAGGGTTTTTCTGGTTAAAGGACAATTGAGACAATTTAAAAGCTGTGTAAGGGAGGTAATCCAAATCAAAATCCAAATCAATTTAAATAACAATGTTTGATTACCTCCCTTACACTGCTTGTTAATTATGTATTAAGAAATGATGATTGTCTGAGATACTGACCATAACTTGAGGGAAAGAAATATTTTTGGAATAAGGGAAAGGGGGAGGTGAAAAAAATTGGAGGGGGACAATTTTTCTCATTTCAGATTTCAGAAATTAAAAGAAAATTTCTTCAAAAAATTTTTTTTGGGGGGTTAATATTCAACAGCATAGTGTATTGCACAAACGCAAAAAAACGGGGTAAAATTTAATTTTTTTGGGGGGGAGGGGGGGATGGGAGGTCAATTCGCATAATGTATTTCACAAAAGCAAAAAATTGAATATAAATTCAAATCATATAACCAATTTGAAGTTCTTTGACTACAGTTATGCTGTGTCAGAAACCTTTTATGTGTCAAAAATTTAATTACAATCCAAATTCAAACCTGTATCAAGCGTGAATATTGTGTCCATTTTTGCCCCAACTTTTCAGGGTTGGACATCTGCTGTCGTATCCAGCTACGCTCAGCTAAGCAATTTATTTTCAGTTTATTTGAGGGAGTAATAGTACAAGGATAACTTTGCAAGGTATACATATCCATTTGACAAGGTTCACCTGACCTTGTTTTCATGTTCATTGGTCAACATTAAGTTTTTATGATAAGGCCCTTTTTCTTAGATAATATAAGCAATAGGTCAACTATATTTGGTGTATAAATTGATTGTAAAGTGTATATGTCTGTCTGACAAGGTTCATATCATTTCCATATATCATTATGCCCCACACTTTGAAGTAGAGAGGTATATTGGTGATGACCTATCATCATTGGTCATTGTGTTTCCTGGATGATAACTCAAATTCTTTATATCAGATTGCAATGGTACTTGGGATTATGGTCACATACAATGAGAGTAATATCCCTAATGATTTTGAGTCTAAAGCTCAAGGTCTTAGTTACTAAAAATAGACTGAAATTTGTGCAGACGAGTGGTTTCCTGCTGCCTATTCAAATGCTGAAAATGGGATTGTAACCTTACTTGTATACCAAGGTGTAAAATCATAACAGAATTGAATCATACCTTAAATACACAGAAAAAAGAATGCCAACATGTTACTACAAGCTTTTTCACTTCACATTTTGGGTGTTGGGTATGTGTGAGTGCACTTTAATAGATAATTTGAAGTTTATGTGATACTTGTAAAATTTAGATTTTTAAGATATTACTTTCAACATTAAATTCAGTATAGCAGGCGAGACATTTTTGCGTACGCACTCTTGTTTATTTTATTTTTTTTTTGCAAATAAGATCTCATGTTATTGCTGTTGTATTTGATCAACAATATGAAAGTGTTTTTTTTTTCTTTTGTTAAATGTGAAATTGCAATTGCAGTGGAATATTTTCAGTAACAATGAAAAATATTTGTGCTCCTTTTAAGTTCTTGTATTTATTTGGTAAGAATAATATATTAATTCTTCTTAAAACAACTAATATTAAAATGTGTGTGATTTTTTTTAGTTATTTTATTTTTTTTCAGTTTTTGTGTGCCTTATACATGTATACAAAGTTAATGACAGTTTATGTGCTTTTCAGCTAAGTCTAATTCAATTTTTAGCTTACCTAAAAAAATTTCAAATTTTTCTTGAAAATTGTGTTTCAATGTTAAATACAGCTTAATCTACATCATTTGCTTCTTTTTGGGAATATTCAAGAAGTTAAGATAATTTTTTTTAGTTACTGACTGCATACAACTTCTTACCTTATATGTAAAATGTTTGCTTAACTTTAAATATATACAATGTACTTTAATCAAAGCAAAAAACTTCATTGCAATTAAACATGTATATATAATATGTAATATATATATTTAAAGGCTAACATGTAAGATAAATGAACTTAAATTGATAATTTTTGAAGCCTTCAAATTTTGTCTGCAAATTGTGATTCCTTAATGAATTTAAACTTCAGAAAAAATTCTTCTAAAGTGATAGTTAATTTGTTAAGATGATTAATGGTGTGTTTGGATAATTTATGACAAATGATAATATTTTTTTTCTGTAGAAATTAATCCAGTCCTAATGTTAGAATATGTTGTACAATACAAAGTTTGATTTCTTCAGAAAGTGATAAGACTATAAGATTATTGAAAACTTTAAGTTGAAGTAAACTTACTTGAAATATATGTAAATAAAATGAAAGTTAAGCAGTTAACCAAAAAAAGTTAGTGACGTGAAATTCTTAAAAAAAATATCTGCTTTATTTTTCTGCAGTTTGCTGGAACTCGTGTGTTTGGTGTACAGTTATCTAGTTTAGTGTCGAAGGACAGAAAAGTTCCTGTGGTTGTGGAAAGACTTATAACTGTTATAGAGCTTCATGGATTATATGTAGAAGGATTATATAGACGAGCTGGAGCTCAGGCAAAAGTCAAAGTGCTAAAACAATTAATAGATAGTGGCAAAGAAGGTAATATGTTTCATGTATTTAAAGTATTAAATGTGTAAAAGGGGAACCCTGAACCCTGTTTCTGTAGGGGAACTTGTAAACATATCCTATATTAAATCTTGTCACCAGGATAACACCTTCATTTCTTCTCAGATCCTCTTCAAATTGTATAATTGGTTCCACTCATCAAAACCTTTGAGGAAAAAATGTGTAGGTCACATAGGGGAAAATCAGTAGTTGGCGAATGAAATATAAAGTTATCTTAAGAAATTGATAATCAGAAAAATTTGAAATTAGGAATTTTATTTTGAGACATGGAGTTATAAAAAATCCCATGTCAATTATGTTATGCTGGGAGATATGAGAGCATGTTCACCAAAGGTTCTTTCATTTAAAAACTCAGAAAATTCACATTTACTAAAATTCTTTATCGTTTACATGTTACATTAAATCTGTTGTCCTATTTGCAGATTTAGTGGCCATAGATACAACTGAATACCAAATTCATGTCCTAGCAGCAGTACTTAAGGGCTTTTTCAGAGATCTGCCAGAACCAGTATTAACCTATGACCTCTATGATGACTTCATTAGAGCAGCAGGTATGTAGTTTTAGGATAACCAGTGTTATATGTAAGTTGATAATAATTCTTTGGGTCAATATTATGATATTGAAAATACTTACATTATTTGTTTAATGTGCTAGGCTATTCAGAAATTATTATGATATAGAAAAAGAGAGGCGACAGATACCAAAAGTACATTCAAACTCATAAGTCGAAAAGAAACTGACAATGATTAACAATTAAAAGACAGCAGTAAAATACATAGTATAGAAAACTAAAGAGTGAGCAACACCAACATAACCGGGGGGTGATCTTAGGTGCTCCGGAAGGGTAAGCATATCCTGTTCACATGTGACACCCCTGCTACTCCTATGAAATACATTAATTAAGTTATATCAAGTTATAAGGCAGCATGTCTGAAAATAAGATTTTAAATATATGTTCTCCTTCGTTTGTAAGTTGGTAACAATAATTTTTGGTCAACTAGTTTCAATTTTAGATTTTCAACATACATTCTTTAGCTTTTAATTTTATTAAACTTTTGTGTTATGAATAAAGAAACATTTTAAATTGTTGAATAAAGGTAAAATTGAAAGACTGGAGGTGTAGAAAAAATATTTTATGTGAATAAAAGAATATGAATAATTGTACATTTCAGAAATTCATGATGAGAAAGAGAGAATGCAGTCTTTGTATGCAGTCATTGATAAACTGCCAAGACCTAATCATGATCTGTTTGAAAGAATTATATTTCACTTGGCTAGGTAAAGACCAGTTTTCAATGTTTAGTGTCAATTAAGATATTTCAGATTAGATTTTTTTAATGCATTTAATTGTTTTATTATCTTTTGGGGCCTGGCAACTTGGATTTTCTGCCCGGCAACATGGATTTTCTAAAATATAAATGGCAAGTTTAGTTTTTATACGACTGCAAAAAAAATTTTGTGGTCGTATATTGGTATGACGTTGGCGTCGTCGTCGTCCGAAGACACATTAGTTTTCGCACTCTAACTTTAGTTTAAGTGAATGGATCTCAATGAAATTTTACCATAAGGTTCAATACCACAAAAGGAAGGTGGGGATTGATTTTGGGGGTTATGGTACCAACATTTAAGAAAAAAGGGGCAAAAAATAAGCATTTTTGTAACTTCCAGACATAACTTGTGTGTAAGTTTATGGATCTCTCTGACATTGTACCACAAGGTTCCATATCACAAAGGGAATGCTGGAATTGAGTTTGGGGGTAATTGCCCAAAAAGTTAAGGAATAAGGGGCCAAAAAGGGGCCAAAAATAAGCATTTTTCTAGTTTCCAGACAATAACTTGTGTTCAAGTGCATGGATCTCTCTGAAATTGTACTGCAAGGTACCATACCACAAAGGGAAGGCTGGGATTGATTTTGGGGGTAATTCCCTCAAAATTTTAGGAATTAGGGGCCATAAAAGGGCAAAAAAACAAGCATTTTTCTAGATTCAGGACAATAACTTGTGTGTAAGTGTATGGATCTTTTTGAAATTGTACTGCAAGGTTCCATATCACAAAGGGAAAGCTGGGTTTAAGTTTGGGGGTAATTGCCATAAACGTTTAGGAATTTGGGGCCAAAAAGGGGCCAAAAAACAAGCATTTTTCTAGTTTCCAGACAATAACTTGTGTTCAAGTGTATGGATCTCTCTGAAATTGTACTGCAAGGTACCATACCACAAAGGGAAGGCTGGGATTGAGTTTGGGGGTGATGAATCATAAGGGGGTTCAAAAAATTTGGGGGTAGGGATTTTTTTTTTTCTTTAAAATTTTCCATTTTAAATTGGTTATTTCTGATTTATATATAAAAGCAAATAATAATGATATGGTTTGAATTAGGTAAATTAAAAATTTTTAAGTTCTTAGACCACTTTCATTCTGTGTCAGAAACCTATGCTGTGTCAAATATTTAATTACAATCCAAATTCAGTGCTGTATCAAGCTTGAATGTTGTGTCCATACTTGCCCCAACTGTTCAGGGTTCGACCTCTGCGGTCGTATCAAGCTGCGTCCCAGCGGAGCATTTTATTAAGGTTGATTTTCAAACAATCAAGGAAAGTCACACAATGTGAAATATTTTTTAACTTTCAATCTGTATCCATGTTAAAACTTAGGTGTCTTGTAAGTAGTTATACATGTAGCTGGATTTGGAGGACATTGAAGAACTTTTTATTAGAACTTTGAGTCTATTTTTAATTGCTCGTCACTAATTGTATTAAATCACCCAATGCATGATGTCTTTATATCCTTCCTTCAGAGTACTGACTTCTTACTGTATGAACAAATACATACTTAAATGTGTTTTTATTAGGGCCCCCAAAATGGGGGAAGCCCTATAGTGATCAGTCTGTCCGTCTGTCCGTCCTTCCGTCCGTCCGTCCATCTGTCTGTCTGTCCGTCTGTCCGTCCATCCATCCGTAACAAATTGTGTCCGCTCTATATCTAGAGAACCGTTATGATTTCAAAGTTTATACTTGATATGTATATTAACCAACAACAGAGAGTGTGTCATAATTTATGTACAACTTCCTAGGTCAAAGGTCAAGGTCAAAAACTTTGGTTTTAGTTGACAACCCCATGTCCTATGGTCAAGATCGTGTCCGCTCTATATCATGAGAACCGTTATAGTTTCAAAGTTTATACTTGACATGTATATAAACCAACACCAGAGGGTGTGTCATAATTTATGTACAACTTCCTAGATCAAAGTTCAAGGTCAAAAAATTTGGTTTCAGTTGACAACCCCATGTTCAATGATAAAGATACAAATTTTTTACCACACTTTATTCACAGCGGGGCCCACAGAGATGGCTCCCAATTGCAATGATATCTAGTTATATCTTCATATCTTGTTTATAATTACCAGAACTTACAGTAAAAGTGCCTGTTGGTAAAGAGCATTTTTATCTCTCTATTTTATGATCAAAATGATTGATTAGGTGCCCTATAGCAAAAATAAATGATTTATTGGGTCTTCCTAAATGTACTAAAGTGACTTGTTCTGTCATTTCTCTTTGTAGTAATAATCTAAATAAAAGAATATTTGCCTATTTCAGAGTGGCTCATCATGAAGATGTTAACAGAATGAGTGTCAATGGTTTAGCCATTATTTTTGCTCCAACTTTCCTCAGAACAAACAAAAAACTTCAAGCGCAAGAATCTTTGAATCAAGTGCCAAAACAAACCATGTAAGTAATTTATATATTATAAGATTAACCAGAAAGCAATTATGGCAGACAACAATCAATGGACTACAGGGTCCTGGCTTGGGTAACGACACATGTTTTGCACAAAGATAAAACATTATAAATTGAATTCCAAAATATGAACCTGCAATAAAAGTATAAGTCAATCATATTAGAAATAAGATCAAGAAACCAATAAACAATGAAAAATTTGGACTATGATTAAATCCCTTTTAGTCAAGGAAGGGTTGTATAGTGATCATTTTGTCAGTTTGTTAAATTGTGTATATGTTTTTTAGTCCTTTTTTCCTCCTTCACAATTAGTGCGTTTAATAAAACTATTTCTTAAATCTTCAGTTCAGGAATTTTGAAGCATTAACCACCTTCTATTTTAAGTTTGATGTGAAGTATTTTAATGGTTTCTTGTAAAAAAAGAACAAACAACAAAAACATGGAATTTGGATAATTTTACAAATGAGGTCCATGCTACTTTGAATTTATGAGCTCTCTTTAATTTTTGTGGTTTATATTAAAAAAAATATTCACTTAACATGGTTGTTAGTCATATGTCATTTTATTTTCACCAATTTCTCTTGACCTCAAACACAAAAAGTCCTTGATAATTGCATGGTAACTTTCTTGCAGAGTAATTGAAAAAATCATCAGTGAACAATTAGACAAATTAAGATCAACATTAGAAGATCTACAGACACTTGAGAGTGCAGAGATTACTGCAGTAGATCGGCTACAAGTCGTCAGAACAAGCATGAGAATCTCTAAGGTAAGAAAGTCAAGCATGAACATCTCTAAGGTAAATAAGTTGTCAGAACAAGCATGAGAATCTCTAAGGTAAGGAAGTAAATGAAACAAGCATGAGAATCTCTAAGGTAAGGAAGTAAATGAAACAAGCATGAGAATCTGTTAGATAAGAAAAAGATAATTAGGGCCCCGCCAAATGGCGGACGCCCTACAGTGATCAGTCTGTCCGTCCGTCCGTCCGTAACAAATTGTGTCCACTCTATATCTAGAGAACCGTTATGATTTCAAAGTTTATACTTGACATGTATATTAACCAACACCAAAGGGTATTTCATAATGTATGTACAAATTCCTAGGTCAAAGGTCAAGGTCAAAAACTTTGGTTTTAGTTGACAACCCCATGTCCTATGGTAAAAATCGTGTCCACTCTATATCTTGAGAACTGTTATGATTTCAAAGTTTATACTTGACATGTATATTAACCAACACCCAAGGGTTTGTCATAATGTATGTTCATTTCCTAGGTCAAAGGTCAAGGTCAAAAACTTTGGTTTCAATTGACAACCTCATGTCCTGTGGTAAAGATCGTGTCCGCTCTATATCTTGAGAACCGTTATGATTTCAAAGTTTATACTTGACATGTATATAAACCAACACTAGAGGGTGTGTCAAAATTTATGTACAACTTCCTAGGTCAAAGTTCAAGGTCAAAAACTTTGGTTTCAGTTGACAACCCCATGTCCTTTGGTCAAGATCATGTCCGCTCTATGTCTTGAGAACCGTTATGATTTCAAAGTTTATACTTGACATGTATATAAACCAACACCAAAGGTTGAGTCATAATTTTTGTACAACTTCCTAGGTCAAAAGTCAAGGTCAAATACTTTGTTTCAGTTGACAACCCCATGTCCTATGGTAAAGATACACATTTTTTAACGCACATTATTCACAGCGGGTCCACAGAGATGGCTCCCATCTCAATGATATCTAGTTTTCTCTACTAATTTGAAGGCATCTGTTGAAAAGTAATATTTCCTGGCAAAATCACAAATTTTCTGATTCATGGATAAGTTAAAAAAAAATTATTTAAAGAATAGAATAAAATTTGTTTTAAAGTTCATTTCCAAGAAAATTATGATAAAATACTAATTTTGTACAATTATTTGCAAATTTTACTGATATATAATACCAATCTTAAAAACAATCAACAAATCCAGATTGCAGTCTACATTTGCCACAATACGTCTAGCAAACAGTTAGTCAGAATGCAGTCCCTAAAGAAGTTATGTTTGAGGGTCTAAATAAGAGGGTCTCTTCTTTGGATATAGTGTAAAGATTAATTTATACTTCTGACTCATATATCTAAACTCTTGACAGGTAAGTTCTTTCAATCAGCATAGTTTAAGTGATGGGTACATTGATGTTTCTTTTCTATTTAGTCACCTACCAGGGAGAGAGCTGTAAGTCCTATGATACCAGATGTTCCTGTAACTGAGGAAGAGGAAGAGGAGGTAGAGATCTCTACAGATGTGGAGGAGGAAGAGAAAGCTCTGAAATCTCATTTACGATCAATCAGAAAGGAAAAGTATGTTGGTTATGAATCTGAAAACTCTAACATTTTTTTCAATACCCTGTGTCCGAGCGGCAGGTGATATTGTGCATTACATGAATTCGTCATATTCCCAATTTGACATTTATAGAATCATTCTTGTTTAATATTGTTTTAGTCTTCCAAAGGGACACAAAAGCTAAAATTTGATAAGTGTAGGCATCAGTTTATAATTGCAATCTCATGTTTAACCATATTTAACCATTTTCTGTAAAAATTAATGACATTCAAATAAAATTGTTTCATCTTGAGGCAAATTTTATCAAATGAACTTGTCATGGTGATTGTTATGTAATGATCTTTTTTTTTTCATGACACCATTCTTATCTCTTGCAGACAAAATTTAACATCAAAATTGCCAGCATTAGAATGTCGACATTTGTCATCGGATGATGACATCAACAGTACAGATGATGTTGACAGTACATATGATACTGCTGATGATTTTGACGAGAGTGAAGAATTTGCAATGACATTTGAACATCCAGGTAGATTGAGAAGCAGCTTTAGATGAACTTTGACCCTACAACTGTTACTGTTTTGAGTTACTACTGCTGCTATGCTCAGACAGTGTAAATTAATGGTTCAAATATCTCTGGCTTCAATTTAACATGTGATAATTATTGTGCATAAGATACTGTTCTTGGGTATTGAAGCTTTGCAGGAAGTTACGAAAAAACAAAAAAAAGTTATATGACACTAGGCCTTTGAAAACTTTCTTCAAGTCTGTTTCTGATATCAGTCCAAGTTTAACTATCTTTATTTCTGAATTTCTTAATTCTGGATGTATGCATGGTTCAATTCTATTCTAACCTCCATAACCATTTCTAAATCAGTTTGATAGGTATATAGATACATGTATAACAAACAGTTATTTCATTCCTACAGTGAATTTATATCTATAATTGATCTATCTGAATGTATGTCTGCTATTTACCACCCATAAGAAAAATGGTTAAGACAAGTTCAATGAAAAAATGCAATAAATATACAAGCGAAAGAAACAATTTTTTTTATTATATGTATTCAGACAATAAAGCCCAGAATCATGGAAAAATGCACTGAAGCCACAGTTAGGTAAAAGTACACATTTTTAGAAACTTTTGAAGCACTGATTATAATTATATCTAAAACCAGTTAAGAGCTAATGATAATTAGTTTATTTTAGTTGCTTTGGTGGCAGGACTAGAACATAACCAATTACTATCAATTCACGTTTATTATGTTTGCACACAAATAGATTTTTATCATAAAATCAGTTTTCTTTCAAGCTTTTTAACCTTTAATCGAAATAGTTATTATGGAAAATGTCTGGAATAACAAGGTGATTTTCTGTGGAACATAATTTTTATTTTGTTAGATGATATATTTTCTACTGATTTTATAGTAAGAGTTCATTACTCAAGGGAAATAACTCCACAGAATCAAAATGATTATATCAATCCACTCCAAGTTAGAATATTGTTCTTTGGGTTGTTTGCAGATAAAAGTAATGATGTCAACAATATTTTAGTTTTATTAGTGACCTCCTAAGATATGAATTCATAATTTTTTATTTTATTTTAAGAATTTTTTGTTGAAAAAATGATTTTTTTTTATTTCAATTTAAATTCTAATTATTCTTTTTTTTTTTTTTTAAAAGGAGAAAAAAATCATCTGACAAGGGAAAAAGAAAATAAATAAATCTAAATCTAATGATGGGTGAAGCTTTAATCAAGAAAATGTAAGAACAACAAATTAATTTGATGTGATCTTTTGGATGTGTTATATTTAACAAACTTGTTACTTACTTATCCTCTTCATCCCCAGTGGGACTATTACAGTTACAGAAACCACAACAAATGAACAAACTTGTGCGTTTGCATTAAAAAAACCTGAGGTTACACTTCATATTTAAATTTTGAAATCAGTATTCATTTCACCCAGAGCATTGTTAAGAATTTTTTTTCTGTTTATTTATTGATGAGAGTAGAATCAGTTATACAATTATTTCAAAGTGAATATTTATCTATGGTCTAATTAAATTAAAGGGCGCTTCTGCAATCTGGAAAGACAAAAATGGATGGGTGCTTGAATGGAGGATATAATTGTAAAACACAATGTATAATGTTATTTGTAAATAATTCATGAAAAAAAGTAATCAAAGTGTATTATATATATATATGTGGATGTTTGATGTGGTTAAAGATACAAAATGGAAGAGCATTTATGAAATGGTATTGAAAAATTGAAAAGCAAACATAAATTTCCTTCACTTGACTTCTTTTAAGGTAGCACTACAGTCAGAATTTTCTGACTCCAACCAACAGTCTTTAAAGATTAATTTCTCCAAAACTATTTAATGGATTTTTAAAATCTTTAACTCATTTTAAAGCTGAAATATAACTCTTTCTTAATCTATAGATAAATTTATTTTTGGTATGATTAATCTCAAAATATAGCTCATTAATTGCCAAAAAAGTGGTCTTCCAACTTGGATGAAAATGGCACATTCAGGTCAAATGGTAGTAAAAATTTGTTTTCATCCCTTTAATCAACTATTCACAATCTTCAAAACTGTGTCTCAGATTTTTGATATATGCCTCCAGTAATAAGATATATTATTTTTACTGCTGGATGCCAAACCTCATTTCACCTTTCATCTTTGGAGACCTATAAATTCATTTAGAAACAAATTATCCAAAAACTGGGACACGGTATTGTAGAAAATACTCCCTTCAATCACATATATCAAAGTCAAGCCAAAGGGGGTACCCATAAAGTTTCTATTTTCATTTTTTCCTTACAATTCTCATGAAAAATTGTTCTGAGAAATGACCTTAAAACTGAATTTCCTCTTAAGAACCCCTATAAATGCCACATAAATACAAAAATTCCACTGGGAACACCCCAGGAGTGTTCTGACACCATTACTTTATCAATAGAACCACACACATTGTGTCTTTGATGCTCTAATGCTGTAAAATTTGCATTTTGTGTGCACTGTAAAACACTAACTTGGCATTTGGCGGGAGTTTGACGTCACAGATTTGACCAACATCTGAGATGTAGTAATTAAATAAAGACAAAGCTCCGCCTCTGTCCAGACAGTCTAAGATAAGAGAATAACACGATTGGCCAGCTGCATCATAATTAATATTTAACATCATTATTCTCACAATAAAGAATAGTTTTCATTTGAATTTTAAAAAGAAATATAATATGATCATGATGACTGAAATTAGCTAAAATATTAAAATTGTGCATTAAAAGACATGTCCATAAAAAGATCGAGACCATCCCCTTCTTGAAAATAGACTGTCCAACATGATTTATGAGTTTCATGGAATTAAAAAAATTCACATAAACTTAAAATTAGTTTAAATGCCTAAAATTATTTTTAAATGTAGAAGACCAAAGACGAGAAATTTATACAGGCAGTCAGAGGCTTTCAAAGATACTTTCACACTCTTTTCCATAGTTTTTTTTTTCATTTTGGTAGATTTTTTCCCTTTAAATTTTTTCCTATTCATAACTTTTTCTTTTTCTCTGTTCTAAACTTCCATGTTTTATAAATTAGTTTTGTTGCAATGCAATGCGATATTTATCTTGTGGTCAGGGATTAACAGCTGTACACTGGTATCAACAGATGATTGACATATTAGCCCCTCCCAAATGCATATATATTTAGATTAATTACATGTGCTTTTATTTACATAAGTTCATTATCAATTTACTCCCTGTTGTGATATGATAATGACTTTGGGATTTTTACAAACTGTGCAGAATAATACTTACTTCAAAATTATGTGATAAAAAAAATATCTTCAAAAAATCATTTTTAGACTGTAGTGCTACCTTAAATATATATGAAAATTATGTGTTCTAAAGACACTCTCTGATGAAATAAAAATATCTATTTCTGATTTGATTGTGAAACAATTTAACACTTTTTATTTGGGGATTTGTATTGAACATGTGGAATCAAATTTCAGTCAATAGACAGTTAGTTTTAAATTAAAAATCAAACCTTTAAACTTGTTAGTTGTGTAAGGCCAGAGGTACAGTAATAGATTGTAAGTTTTAACATTGTCATGAATAAATTTCTTTCCTTCATCAGTTCTTGATACTGTTTATAAAGTTTCTTCAATACCTTTTTCTTCTCATTTCATACTTAAGTTGTTCCTTGATAAATCATAATTCATTTTAGGTGATGGCATTACTATCATTAACTTTAGAAGCCTGTAATATTTAATTTAGATTTACTTTTTGTATGCTCGGAATGATCAAAATTATATCTTTTAGATTAAGTATTTCCTTAGTTACTGATTCTTTTCACATATATTACCCATAATTCTTCATTTCATATTTATTACCCACAATTCTGTTGCTATTTAAATTGATTTCCTGTCCTTGTAGTAGTTTGCCTTTGTGTATATATACATTGCTTGCTTCTTGCATTGCCATTTATTCTCTTTTCTGTCTGCTTCAATTTCAGTCAGCCCACCAAAACAATTAGAACATTTGACAAAACGGAGAGCTTCAGTGCCATCAGCCAAACGTCTTCCAACAAAATATCAGGCCATATTGGACAAACAATCTGATGAAGAAGCTTTGTGCAAACAATCAGAAAATATAAATTCAAACGACTTGTGTGATAGCAGTGGTCAGTTAAACACACTGACCAATTGTCAAAGTGCATGTGAGATGACACATAGTATTCTTCTTCCAACATCAATGGAATCCAGTTATGTTGCATTACCTGCACGAACTTTAGACGATGACGACGATGATGAGATAATGGTTTGACAACAGGAACCATAATCTATAACGCAAATGTGCCAAATTAGTTAAGCCTTCAAAATGTCTCTGCATGATGCTATGTTAAGCTTTAAGAAGCTGAAGTCAAAATGAAACAGAATTAAATCAAAATAGTTTTATGGAAGGTAATTTTGGAAAGTGATATCATTTAGTGCTTAGGCTAAAAGGAGCTAAAAGTTAGTGTTTCAATACTAGTGACATTTCACAGGAGAAGCACAAATACCATACCCAGCTGTGCTGTGGCTTATGTAATTATTTAAATTTATTTTTAACAAAATACGTGTTGATCATGTATAAGCTGATTAATGTCAGTCTGAGAACAAAATAAAACTCCACATTTAAATATTTTTGCCTGTCTTTGCAATATTAGAACACCTCATGTTCATTGATGACCTTGAATAACCTTGAATTCTTGCATTGTAAATACATCATATTTATAAAGTTTCTATGATATTTCCTGTAATTTGAATTTGATATCTTGACTTGTACACTTTAAAATGAATATAATTGATAGTAATGTACCTTCTTTCCATAGTTTATATCTACAATGTAGGTCAATCCAAACCAATCAAAACTTTAAAACTCAAAATTCATTTTGGGCTTTCTTATAGATTTTCAGAGCAACATTCTGATACGCTCCCCAAAAATTGTGTAGATATATTCCCATTTCATTTTGGATATCATCTTTAAATGTAACTTTTTATCTGATATTCATTAAAGTTCAATGATTTACCTGGACATAGATTGGAAAAATTTTATGTTCGGAAGTTTAAATTTAAGTATATGAGTAGTATTTAGTAATGGTGTCTTAAAATTCTGATATGTCTTCTATCTCTTTTTTAAGAGTGCCTTATTAATTGTTATAAAGATTTTTTTCATAGTTGGTTTTGAATTTTTAACATAAGTTTAGGTCCTAGTTATAGCACACAGTAGCTAGCTTCAACTGGTTTTGGTAAATTTGTTGTTTCAAGAAATTGAAATAATAATTTTGTTTTCAGTTGTTCAAAAGATTGAAAAAAGATCTCACAACTAAAAGCTTTACACCAATTATGATATGTTGTGTTGTTATAGATTGTTCTCTTTTTAATTAATGTGAAATTATTTGTCTGACTTCTGTTTTAAATTTGATTTGTTGGGGAGGGGGAGGGGTGTTGATTGTTTATATTGATTAAATGTAATTTTGGATAGATGGTTAGGATTAAGTCAGTTACACAAATACTTGATTGAAAAAGGGATGTGTACGTTGGAGACAAGCTTTGAAAATTTCATCAGCCTTGTACTGTTAGAGACAAACATTTAATCTTTATGAAATTTTTTGACTTCCAAATTGCAAACAAAAGAAAATTTCAGAACAGCAAATTATATAGACCTTAAGAACTGGACAAAATCTAAACTTTAATAAAGTTTATGTTCAGTAAGAGAAATTTTAGCCAATAAAAAAGAAGCAGAAATGGACGCTTTTATTGGCACAACTTTTTTTTGCATCTGTTGCATCATATTTATTTATAGGGTAGGATAGGGATCTGTAGTGCTAATACATATAGATGTGCAATATAGCAATTGTGTTTACAGTTGCATTAGTTCATTGTGATGTCACTGCAAGGCATAAACATTTTTTTTTTTTAAATTTCATAAAAGTCATGTTTGAAATAATAAAAATTAAAAAATTCCACAGTTCAAACATTTTAAATTTATTTATTCAAATTTAATTATACAGAATATTTTACCATCTTTAAGCAAAAATCCTTCTTGTCATGTAGATTTTGTTTTTGTTCTTAATACACACAATCTCTAATAAACCTAAATGTCTGAAAAAATTTAGCTTCAAAGCAGCAAATATTTCAATTTTAAGTTGTTTTGTTTTGTGAATGTGATAATTTGTTTTGTGATTCAAAGTATTGACAGTGATATTAGATTAGAAATTTGAAAGGTCTACAGTAGATTAATTACTGCTTATATTGAATTATATATGATTTTGTAAAACATTTGTTTTCTTTGTTTGATTTAAAAAAAAATTTTGAGCAAAAGATGTGTTTATTATCGATTTCTGATAAATTTATTTTAACACTACATACTTATCTATAGAGATACAAACATACATTTGTGCTTGAGTAGTATGTGCCACATTGCTTTTTTTTAAATGATAACTGCAGTTTTAATTCAGCCTATAGAGTGGTAAAGGTATATATATTTAAGTTTTAAAAAATATTTGCAAAAAGAAATGATCACCAAAATGAGAAAAAGCTTATTTAAAGACCAAACAGCCTATTGTTGATGCGCATCAACTAACGCAACTTGGTAGTGACATAAAAGCTCTATGACGTTGTTTCTAGCCATGAAAAAAAAACGTCAAATTATAACGTCCTATTTCGCGTTTTTCACGGATTCCAACATGGTGTACGCTTAAAACTACGTCTTCCAAGAAAAGTGGAATTAAGCGTCGCACTGATACCTAGTGGAAATTAAACACAAATGGACACAAAAGATACTACACTATCTGTAACCTCCGTTCAAAAAAAAAAATAGTAAAAATATAAATTTTGAACTCGGCTTTTTGCATTTGCGCCGATCTGCATTTCACTTTTTTTCTTTCACTTACGCCGATTTTGTATTTCATTTGCGCCGATTGTGTACAGGTATATTATAGGTGAAAGTTATTTTTTTATTTATCATGTAAACCTCTTCCGTTAGCCAGTTGTACATATGTTATGAATTGTCAATTATAACATGTATATAACTGTTGTCCCCTGCTCACAAAGGGGAGGTGGGAGTAGAATTTCGAGAAGGATAAGTCAATTTAAAAGATATTTGTGCACTCTGTTTACATCCACTAAAATCACGGAGTAAAATTCTATTTACAGCATTTCAAAGCACCACAATAAAATCCATAAAAATGTAATACTAGTACAATGAATTATTATCTTGCCGAGAATTTATATGCCACACATCTGATATATAATTCTTTCTTGTCATTTTATCTTTTCTATACTTGTTGTACTTGCCAATAACGAAATCCATCTTTTCTTTCTCGTGTAAAAACGAAGTTCTCGAACAGTATGACCAAAATTATCTTAAACATTAGGGAACACTATTTATATCCATATATTACCATGCAATATACATTCTAGGTTTACTGCATGTACATGTATTTACTCGTATAGCAAATAAAGAATCGGGGCTAGTGATAAAAAAAATAAAATAGGCGCTAATGAAAGAATCAAATCGGCGCAAATTAAAGATCGAAATTTTCTTTAAATCGGCGCAAATCTCGTACGCCCGTGTAACTTTACACTGGTATATTTATATGACTTACGCTTAGAATTTTAACTTAATATGTGATTTTCAAAACTGAGTTTTCAGAAGGTTAGGCCGATAAACAATACTTTCTAGAAGTTTCGATATACTGGCAACGTATGTATGATGAGATTAACTTATTTCTTTAAGATTCTCGTTAATTAATGGTGATCTTGCAATGAAGTTAAATTTTATCTATACTGCTTAATTGACAAAATCTTATAGTAAAAATAAAAATGATAAAGGTACATTGTATTTTGTCTTTTGTTTCATTTCAAATTGTCTCAAGGAGAAATGATAAAAATATAAGAAATTAATATACTGAGTGAATGTGAATTAAAATAAAAACTTACGGTTTTTAAAACTAAACTTGTTGTAAATTTAACTTATGACAAAAACAATTGCTTCAAGAATAAGATCCAACATAAAATTTCTCACTTTCAAAAAGCTACAATGACCGGAAAGATTGAAAATAAATTTCGATTTTCAATGCCGGCAATCCGGCTATACATACAACCTTGTCTTTGTTTTAATTTCCAAAGTGAGCTATTTAGATTCATAATATTTCATCCTGTTTTGAGAAATACTTTATAGTTTTCAACGGAAAATTATTTCTTAGATTCTAAATCTATTTTTGAATTAAAAACTTATTTGTATTTTATATTTACTGTCTCGTTTATTCAAAACACGTGAGGTAGTAATAACGGGGATCGTATTTTATGATAGGTTAAATGGATGTAAAACGTTTTGGAATCAAAAACTTTAATTCATATATTATACCTATAATTTAAATTTTCTTATATTTTAAATATTTGAAGAAATAATGAATCCACAAACTAGATGGAATAATTTGTATACGCTCGTCTTAGTCGGGACACATAATGGTATAAAGAAGTCCGTCCGTGCTAATGTCTGTCCGTCTGTCAATAGTAGCGAAAGTGTGCGCTAGGGCGAAGTTCTGAAATTGACGCGACAAAAAAACCCACACATCTTGTCTAATATAGTCAAATAGTCTGTAAGTAATCATCTTTCATTTCTCTTTTTATTTTCAATGATTTTGCTAATGAGATGGAGAGGACAAAAACAGACTTTCCTTTCTAAAGCGTCGTAAAAGGTTATTTCGAACAATTTTTCATTCCGACGGATGGTGTTTCTGAAGGTTAATTTTGTGCGGCAACAACATCATGAGATCTGATACTGATACATAAATGTGATCGCTTGTATTACCGGATAATAAAGTAGGTGAATATAGTTGTTATTCTTGATTCTTAAAAATTTAAATGTGGGTTTCAAACGTCCAATTTGCAATGTTTTTTCAAACCGTGCGACAACAAGGAAAACTTGTACTATGACGTCAGATTCAATGTTCTGAAGAACGACAACACTTTTCTTCAAAACGAATGAGAAAAAAACATGAAAATTAATCATAACTTTTTTGAAAGGTCGGTGACATATACATTTTTTTGCTTTATTTTGAAGAGTACACATGGCACTTTCTTTCTTGAAATTTTTATGAAAAAATCACTGGTAGATATTTTTTAATAATTGAAACGTTTTTCATTCTTGCGTTTTATTTTTGGCGGGAATGAAATAAATCATATTTTTTCAGATCAAAACAATAAGAGTCTTAAAGTCTTGAACCTGTATTTGATAGACACAAATCTACTCTTTAACATGAAACAAGAATTATGCTTGTAGGTTTGATATAATGGTATTTTTTGAGAGTTTAAATAACAAGCAAATATCATGTTAATATTCGGGAAAACACGAAACTGAGGTTGCTATAGTGACAAAACTAAGTCGGTGACCCCCAATTTTTTTTATCATATTTTGTTCCTCAAAACATGAAATACCTTCACACAAAATTTTAAGGAAAAATCACTGGTAGAACTGAATAGGCTGTTTGGTCTTTAAAGTAGGTATTAATGGTGCAGAAGATTTTTTTTTTATATGGATTTTCCATCCCAGTCCTTTAAACCTATTGGATGGGGAAAGTTATGATTTGACTTTGGCTGTATGATAATGATTCTACTGTACATTATGGATATG